GCGTTTTCTTTTACGTCGAATGAAAAATGCATAGCTCTCTTTCCGAGTTTTGCCATTTGATCGATTTCGACTGGTTTGTTCGAGAGAGAGAGAGAGAGAGAGAGAGAGAGAGAGAGAGAGGAGAGGGGGCGAAGGTCTCGGCAGATCCTACCGGTGAAACCCACCGAAACTTTTACACGGGATTAAGCGGGACGAGATTTGCCTCTTACCGACGTTAAAAGATTCAGTCAGCCGGATAAGGAGGCAATAGTCTACGTCGACCGCGTCGCTTCCGGTATCACGGTTGAAAAATTTACGTGCCACGCTTTGCGTTTCATCGAGGACGCGCGCGCTTATGCGAACGCGTAATGCGGAGTTTGCTGTAATGTAATGCAATCGAATCAACGTAAAATACCAACTGTTGATCTCGAGGATTTTTTTTAGATGTAATTATAATTCGCGAATGATAATAATTTTAATGCGAGAAGAGAGAATTTGCAGATTAAAACGGTAGACACCGCAGGCACGTGAGATTCAGCAGAAGCGTGCAGGTGATACAGCTGTCACAAGACAAATTTGATAATATCCTCGTAACACGTGCAACGATTTATTACTCAATTATTGGTAACACTTGAGACAAATTCGATTCCCGTATAATGAATAATAATGCCTCCTACGTTTCCCAATATTTTTTTTTTCCAAAAAGGAGTTCATGAATGACATAAAAGTGAAGTGATTTCTATGAAACGTTTTTTCCGCTTCCAGGATCATAACAGATTTTCCTGGAGACGGACAATTTGTTTTTTTTTTTCTAAGATCAGTAGGATTGCAAAGTTGGACAAAAGAATAAAACTACGTGTATCTGTCCAGAACGAATTAGTCGGGTAGCCGACGTCGAAGGTATAAGCCGACGTCCTTTTCAAAGGCTGCGGGATCCTGTGTTTCATTGTGCCTTTATCGGCTGTCCCCTCGTCGACGCGGCACTTTCGAAAGAAGGAGCGCGCAGCGCCCGTTCGTCCGAGAGCGAGAGGCACTCGAGCGAGAGCGCACTTCGAATTCACCGGGCGATTAGCGTCGCCCGGCGGTTAGCTTTGCGACAGATACGCGAATCAAAGCGGCCGGAACGGCGCGGCGCGGCGGGGCGGCGATGAAGCGACACACCGAGGAAGCTGAAGTGGCCACGAGAGAGAGACCCTGACTCCGGTGCGACGGCGGCGGCGGCGGCGGCGGCGGGGGAGGAGGAGCGAACGGGGAGAAACGGACAAACAGCGGAGAACAACAGAGAGAAACCGGCCGGTGATATACAGTGGCAATTATTGCACGCGCAGACGAGACCACCGATGATATCACCGTCGTTGTGCCGTTTCCCTCGCGCGGCTCGCAGAGAGGGCACATCCGATACTTCCGGTTTACGTTAGAGGCAGCGCGATAAGCGTCGCGCGTGCTGGGATGGTTAACGTCATTAAGACGATTCAATAATTTCCCTTGGGAAATCTGTGTGTATGCGTATACGGCAGGAATTTTGCATAATTTGCGGAGGGAAGAACAGATTTCGAAAGCGTCAATTGAGGCGCGACGTGTCTCTTGTGTATACCGTTTCTCGCGGCTAAAAAGAAACGTTCATGTACTAACACCCGCTCGTCTCGTGCGCGGCGAGAGGATTAAAGGAAAGGCGGTATCTCACAAGGTCGAGGAGCCGCGACACTTTAAAGGGATTCCCCTGCCATCCCGCGCGGCGCGGATTTCAGTGAGAAAATATTGCCTATAGACGACGACGACGACGACGACGATGGTGCACCGAGTGTATATACGACGGTAAGTCACTTTCTTTGGCGGGCGGGCGGGCGCGTTTGCGGCAAACAAGAAACGGACTCGAGAAAAGCGGAGAGAAAGAACGGTGAGCGACACACACACACACCGCGGGCAAAGAGAAAGGTTAAGAGGGAGAGGGGGAGGAAGAGATCCACCGAAGCTTTGTGATGTCAAAGAGCATCGTTTTAGCGGTTCTCGCTGGAAAGTCTTTGATATCGAAAAGGGGAGGAATTCTCCCTCTTCCCTCCCCAACTGCCTTACCGATGTCGGCCGCTTTTTATCCCGACGAGGAGCACGTGGTATCAAACGCGATGGCACGACCGTGAAAGTGGAGGAGGGAAGATGAGGAGAGAGAGAGAGAGAGAGAGAGAGAGAGAGACCCTCTAGCAAGCTACTTTGTCGACGCTTCAGCGGTGTCGTGCTCCGGGGAGCGGGGATTCCCAAATCGTGCCGCCGTGTGTGCGTGCCGCTCATCTCTCTCTCTTTCTCTCTCTCTCTTCCTCCTCGCTCGTCCCGGCGCCTTCACGGAGGGTGGCCACGCGTCTCCTCCGTTCGCGTGATCCACCGCGGCAGATTTCCCCGTGTTATCTATTACCGGTCGGCTATTCCACCGGGGGGAGTAAATAAAAGGATAGGAGGCGAGTCTCTTCTCGAGGGGGAGAGAGCGGGAGGGGAGGGAGAACGAGTCGGCTAAATAGTAATCGTCGCGGCGTTTCACAAAGCCGGATAGCTCGCGCGCCGAGAATTCTCGGAGGTCTTCGATTTTGAATGAACCCTGATCCCGCGCTGCTCCTCACGAGATTTCCTGCGCGCATTCGCGATCGATCGGTCATCGATTTTAACGTCTGTCCGTAATTTCGACAGGTAAATTCACGAAGTCGCAATTCTCTCGTACTCCGTTCGAACATTTTTTTTCGAACTCATTCGAAATTCATCCCGAAAATCCGCGGTCTTTCGACAAATGACTGCGTCATCGCGTTGTCGTCATCGTTATCGTCGCGCGCGAGATACGCGTCTCGCTGGACGGCTGCGCCAGTTGCGTGTCCCGTTTCAGATGTTAATAGGTGTTAATAGATAGACACACAGCTATACACACGGTCAGCGCGCTCCATCGAGGGTGCCTCGCATATACGTGGTTCGGTGAAGCGGACAGAAGCGTCGGTGGTGGTAGTGACGGCCGGAGGAGACGGAGACGACGACGACGACGACGACGACGACGACGATGACGACGGCGGCGGCGACGAGTGAGGCAGGGCAAAGTGGAGCTCGGAAGCGGCCGCTTTGATGTAGACACGCTCCGCGACTCCTTCACGCCAATAAACTAACGGTTAGGTTAAGCCGTCTCTTTAAGCCGTAATATCATTATCCTTGCCTTGTGCCCTCGGCGCAGCACGACGTCGACGTCAACGTCAACGCCGACGTCGCTTTTGTCGCGTAGCGCCGCGCCGCGCCGCGCCGCACTTGCTCCGCGTAAATGTCAACGCGTGTCTCTTGCGTGCTTCCGGAAATACGAGCGCACTGTCCGCTATCCGTAGAGGACACTCCGAACGACACGAAGGGTTCGCCTTGAGATTTGTACGGGGGAGAAGCGAGAGGGTGAGAGTCCGATAGAGAGTCGGCGAAGATCAAAGCGCCCGAGCGCCGCCGCCGTTCGGATCTTTAAAATGTCAATGGCACGTTAAATATCCCGACTCTACGTTACGTTGCTCTTAAGTTACGCCAACACACCGGGCAGTCGGATAATTTCCCTTTCGGGAAGAAACTTTATCTCTCTCTCTCTCTCTCTCTCTCTCTCTCTCTCTCAATTGCGGCGATCGTGACCGAGGGAACACCCGGTATACGAGGCCACGAGTAGGAGGCCATCGACAGCGCGGCACGGCGCGCGGCGAGCAAGGAGCGGGCCGAAAGAAAAAGCACCGCGACCAGTCGAAACGAAAGCACCGACCGCAGAAAACCACCGTGGCACGAGAAAACGCACGGCTGCGCCCACCGATGCGCACACGCGCGCGTTTGCATGTATGCGTTTGCGAACACGGCAATCCACTTTTAATGAACAAAATTTAATATAAAAAAAAAACAGCGTCAGCATTGCGTTCGCGATGACAATAATATATAATTCTTAAACTTGAGATTAAAAAAAAATTCGTATTTTAATTCGGAATTTAATTGATTCGTAACGATGCATGCCTGTAATCCTTAAACGATACAATTGCGGCTGTGATTCTGACGGTCATTTTTTCAAAATGTCATACTTTTTTCACGACTTTCGACCTACAAACGAATTACCAATCCTTTTCATTGATTGACAATTTAATTTATCGTAATTATATAGTACTTTGCAGAAACCATGGCAAAGATAGTAAAATAGAAATGTTTTAAACGCGAGTCACTAGACTTATTCATGAGGAAGTAAGCAAAGAGTTTTTCAAAATATTTGTTATATTTTGAACATATTCATTATATTATCCATCATTTATTTTTTGAAATTTTTAACACTCCCTTTTTTAAATTTCTAATATTCTCTATAAATCTTTTGAACATCTGGCAAAAGTTTTTTCACAGTTTTTTTTTACACGAGGAAGATGCTACAGAAAATCGCGCGAAGGCAAGACGGCGGCGACGTTAAGGAAAAGATGACAGTATAAAGAAAAAGAGAGGGGAAAAAAGTCAATGTACTGTCCAGACTACTTGAAGACATTTGCGAGAAATTTGCAACAAATGGGAGAGAGAAGGCTCCGGGGGTTGAAATCCAGGTAAAATTCCAAGCGCAAAATCTCAAAGGCGGAACGTAAACAAAGCTCGAAACGCCATCGTCGGCACGTCAAGACGCAAAGCGTACAAACCCTCCCTCCTCCACTCCGATGCTCCGAACTAATATTCAACGGAACTACGTGCCGAGGTGAAACGTCAAGATTATCATGTGGCACGCGGAACGATTCCTTTCGGAAGGAAGGAATGTCCTTTTTGAGGATGTTTCTCGATTGTTGTCGGCGCGCGGAGGTCAGGGTCAGGTATCGCACCGACAGAGAAATTGCGAGCGGCAAGTTACAAATCGAGAGAAGCGGTGGGAAGGGGGAGGGCGCGCGAAGGGGCGCGGGAAAGAGAGAGAGAGAGAGAGAGAGAGGGAGAAGGAGGGACGGAAACGAGGGAAAAGAAGGGAAGGAAGAAAGCGAGAACACAGACGAAGGAGCAAAAGAGCAATGACTCACTCTGTATATCCGTCGGTGTTTACTGACGGCGCCGGGACGACAGCGCGGCTCCTTGGCGACTCGGGGACGACTGACGGCGGCGGCGGCGGTGTAGCCGCGGACCCATACTCTCTCACGCGGAGGAGGAGGTGTCAACTCCCGTGCTCGCCGCGATTCGCCGTGAACTGCAACCGCGGACACACATCTCGTTTCTTTTCCATTCCTCTCTCATTTCCCTCCACCCTCCCGCCCTCTCTTTCTCACTCCTCCCCTGCTCCTCTTTCGCACGCATTCTGGTATATTTACCTATATACGCATATCTCTCTTCCCCCTCGCTCGGTACAGACGGATGATCCACCGTGATCTGGTCGGCACTTCTTCGACACGGAGCACACCGCACCACCACACCGCCAGGCACACACCGACGGGCACACGCATTCACGCGCGACGATTCGCGGCACGCACTCGACGACGGCGGCGGAACGTGTCGTTGTTGACGTTGACGACCTCGTCGTCGTCGTCGTCGTCGTCGTCGTCGTCGTCGCCGCGTCTCGTAGGGACGGAAAAAGGCGCGGAAAAGCGACAGGGCCCACGCGCGCGGGGGGGACGCACGACGCGGATCAAGGACGGCACGGCGGCACCACGTAACTTCGCAGGCACATCTTGGCGGTCGTCGCCATCGGTCGCTGGCTCGCGCACGAGTGCGGGTTGCGCGCGCGAACGCACCCTCGCGGTCTCACGCTGAACCCACTCGGCAGATCGCTCGGCCAATCAACGCGACGTGCGGCCGGCACGAGTGGCGCGACTGGACGCGACCTCCCGCGCGGTAATCACCAGTCACCATATCGTGATTGGATACCCCGCGCGGCGCGGCGCCTCGTGAGAGACCCCCGCGAGTAATAATTAATTACGTAATTTAAAGCGGCAAACTGAGAGGAGGGAGCGACAAAAAGTGTCGCACCAAAAAGTAAATACCATTTAAGTATAAATGATATTTGTATCACTCTAACTTGGATTACAAACTATAGCGATTTATCTAAGCGTTTGTATATTCTCGCGATATTGCAGAAAGATACTAATATCCTATCATTTTTGAAGGAATAGTATTTGTCCGCATGTTTAATAAGAAGTTACGGGAGAAAGAATTAAGAATTGCTAGTTTTTGCACTGCAATTATTGCGATATAATAATTGCAAACGTGGAAACTTAAAGGTTACAACTTCTACTGCAGCATACTTGATTTGTATAGCTTAGCATTTAGCAGTGTAGTAATGTGAAATCGATGCAATCGACAATAATTAATCCAATTTTCTTCGAAATATGTTATTAAGTCGCATACGCATTAATAAACAAGTTAGAAGCTTCTTGATTTCAAGCGATATTAAAATTGAATTTGCGAAAAAAATAAATTTGATTATTAACTAAAATTTAACCCTCGTAAAAAAGAATGATTAGTGCAGTGATAACACTACTAAAATGTATTAGTGGCACTGCTGATTTAGTAGTGTTTTTACACTGCAATAGTAGTTCTTTTTTACTAGGGAACACTTTAGTAAGACAAAAAATGAAAAGTCATTCTCTTTCTTTCTCCTACCATCTTTGAAACGACTTGAATTTGACTTTAAAATAACTTTAAAGTAAAAAATTATTTTATTGCACGTATCGTAAAATGATAAAATAACGCCCAATTCGACAAGTTTATTCTGTTGGATTGTACAATTTTTGTCAGTTGAATTGAAAAAAGTTTACTTAAAAAGCACATAAAAGTGCTAAATTAAAAAGTGCCTTCTTTTTTCGAACACTTTCCCGTCGTAAAAGAATATGCGTGCCTGCGAATCTGCTAAATAAAAATATCTAATATTTAAATAGGTATGGTAAAATATTTATAATTTTAATTCATAATTTAAATCAAAAGTAATCTGAGAATTTTATTACAAAAACTAATAATTTAACAAATTATTTCTTGCCCCTCCAAATAAGAAATATTATAAAAATATATGTAATCTAATATTCTCTGGACTGTTAAGCGATGCTCGGCGAGAAAATACCTGAGGTATTTAAAAAATGCAGTCCACGATTATGTAACCATCGGACAGCAATTTGCTATAGTAATCGCGATTTGCAATTCTAGAAATATATCGCGTAGATCTGTTTTTCTAAAAGATTGATCGCGTTATCGTCCTCCACACACTGACACTGACTGTTCAGCGCAAATCCAGTTCGAGGCACCCTGGAGGTCCGTCGGACTCCCCCACCGACTTTTGTTAAAATCTCAAGTCGTGGCATCGTTACATTCAGTCCGCTGTGCCGCGCGTCGGTGGTACACGCAACCGCGGGGTGCGATCGAAAACTGGTTCCCGTGAACTTGCGCAAATTCTCTGGACCACGTCTTGAGCGGTACGCCTTATAGCGGATTCGCAGAAACGCATATTCTTTTACGACGGGAAAGTGCCCGAAGAAGGAAAATTACAGAAAGTATTTGGCACTTTTTCATTCGGCATGCTTTTGTGCGTATCTTAAGTGTACCTCTTTCAGTTTTAACTGAAAGCTACAAAAACCGTACAATCCAACGGAATAAACTTCTTGAATTGGATCATCGTTTTACAGTACGTGCAATGAAATTTTTCACTTTAAGGTTTTTCACATGACTTTATTTTGACTTTAAAGATTTTCTCGACGATCGGAACCGTGTGATCCTTTTAGTGTCGACAAATCTTTTCACTGTCGGAGATACAATAGTTTGTCTCTTAAGAAAAATGGAAATGAGCTAACAAGTCATAAATTAAAAGTCCACAAAAAACTGTTGTTACTCGCTGTGCCGTACTTTTAAACACACAAAAAAGTAAAAGAGACATTCTTTGTTAATTTCTCGTTATAAGTTTTAAGATTTTAGATTACATTTTGCCCCGCATAATCCACGTTATCGAATGGATGCGTGATGATAACGGCAGATAAATGCAACTACAGTATGATAAAATAAATGTTATTATTAACAGCGATAGATTTAGCATATCGGGGGCACGTACGGAGATACATTTTGCGATACACGCAACAATGTTACACATCGCTTCGTTTCACATGCGCAGTTCTGTTTTTATTGAATTCTTTTCGTACTGCATCTTACGCAACAAAAATGATTAGGAAAAAAACACATGTTTGATTACCTCTCATGTCACTCTCGGACCTCTCGGATGTAAGACGCGCGTGTCGGTTATCATTAAGATTAAATACCTATTATTCTCGCTCCCGCAGGACAACACGGTACAAAGTAGAAACTTCGATTATCCGGGGCAATGTCTCAAAACGATAAGATAAAATTAATATTTTTAAATAATCTGAATAATTTCAATTAGCACATATAAGTATATCGAATTTATCGAAGAGTTTATTATCGTTTATTCCGTGATGTATCAGAATGTTATTTTCGGACTGTGCAGATAGATGTTACAACTAACTGATCAATAAATATCTTAAGACGTTTTTATCAAGTAAGCATTGCACTATCGCGTAATAATAAAAAGAACTGAACTTGAATCGAAGATAAATATACCTTCTCTTCCTGCTTAATGTATTCGAGAATTAAAACGTTAATCACGGTTAATTAAAACGTTTCGATATCATACTTCCGATATCACAAGAAATTGTTTACTCCAACTATAAATATGTAAAGCATAATGAATTTTAATTGTAACAAATTATACTTTACGTGGATGCGAGCGTGTATCTCGATCGCGACGAGCACGGATCATCCGCGATCTGTCGGGCAATTTAGGTCGTGCTCCGATATGCACTGCATATAATATACTTTGCGTATGTATACTTCACGTTACGTATACTATAAATTTTCAATACTGACAGTGTATATCAGGACCGCGGCCAGCGAAAGGCGAGAAAGGCCGACGACTACGCGAATCTTTAATCCTTCGAAGGCGAAGGTTTTTCGCGCTGGGAGAAGCGTGAACGCGCGTTTTCGATGCTAGCCGGCGAGGCTTTGTCGTAAATGTCGAAACGATCTTCGGTGAGGATCGCGCTGAATATTGTTGAGCGAAAGCTCTGTTTCTATACGTACGTCTAGCCGATGATGAAATCGTCTTGCATGCCACCCCGCATGTGGAAAACGACTGAATTATTCAAGATATACGTGAACTCGCACGCGTATCCGGGTTTAGATATTTATTTATTATATCGTACGTCATGCAAGTGTACTTGACCAAAGAGCAGTCCTCGGGTCGTAGCGATCAATTTACACGATCGTTTAATTATTCTTTCGTAAAAAATATCGTCGTAAAATGCGAAAAAGAGAAGACTTTATTACCGTGTTAAAACGAGGCTCCTCGCAGCGATACAGACGCGAGAAAACGCCTGCGAAAAATTGAATACGATGTGTTATATATATATATTTTTTTCTTTTTAATTTTAATACAAAATTAAATTTAAGACAAAAAAATTCACAGGGGAGTAGAGAGAAGGGGAGGGAAGAAAATGTGGCGTAAGACCTTGGAAAAACTTCCTTGAATTTATCTACGCTGCAAACGCGTGTATACGTTTATTGGTCCCAAAATACCTAATCGCGACTTGATTGCGAAAGACGCCACGGTAAAGGCATTGTTATTCAATGATCCATGCGCGCCAGGCATGCGATAGACTTATGGTTACTATTATCCGAAGCTTCGCGAACCGTGACGCGAAATCAAATGCGAAATTCAATAAGACCACCTAGCCAGTATCACTAGCCACGATTGCCGATAACGCAACGTGTCCATTGCTTAAAACTTCTTACGTAATTGCGTAATGCTAATTTCGCGATTGTATGTACGTTTTGCATTAGCATGTTGTTTTTTTTTTTTTTTTTTTTTTTTTTCAAACATCGATGTGTATTGAAGTGCGCGGATATTTTTTAAACTCGAGAGCAAAATTGATTGAGCTGAGAATTTGTTCTTTGTCAATTGGTGTAAAGAGCTCCAATAACTTACGCGTTACATTAATTTTTTATACTTTACAGGCAATGATTTTGAAAGTACGTATCGTATTAAGTATCTTAAGCGTTATACGTGCAATATTTCGTCCGATCTTGTTGTTTCTCTACAAGAAACCGCCAAGTATACCACCGATAACTCATTCCATATACACGCTGAGTGCGACGAAGCTCGCTAAGAAGATTAGACAGAGAGAGGTGAGACATTAACTATATAACTACTGCGATGTCCTTCTCTTTTAGTGATAATTTTTTTTATTTTGTGCCAATTAGAATGTAATTATTATGACGTATTTTATTTTATTTTTACAAATTTGCTGCACTTTGCAGCATGTATATGCATGGATAGGAAGAAAGTCAAGAAGTAATTTATATAAATACAAATTTATTTTACAAAATGTATTTAAAAAAAAATAGATTACGAGCTACGAAGTGGTGCAAGCGTATGTAACGCGCATTAAACAAGTGAACCCTTTCTTAAACGCTGTCGTCGACGAACGATTTTTCGCCGCGATATTCGAGGCGAAAGATCATGATGAACAATTGAAAGCGGGCAAATTCGATATTGAAACTTTAGAAAAAGAAAAGCCGCTGTATGGCGTACCAATTACTGTCAAGGAATGTTGTGCCGTAAAAGGTATGAGTAGCTTCTTGATATTGATGTTGTCACATAGGTTTTAAACTGGCCAATTATATAAATTATGGTTTAACTTTGAATAAATTTGTCGAGATTGTTAGTGATGACACGTGTGTCATTTAATCCATAAATGGTCAGTTTTCAATAAAATATCTCAAGAATTACCGCTTGAAATGACAAACAGTTTTATAATTTTTTGCTATGATATTTTGATTCGCGAATTTCAGAACATTCTGTATATATGTGTATAAAAATGTACAGAAATAAAAAACGTATGCATAAATTATATTGAATATATTAATTATATTAAGTATATATTAGTACAGCAAACGCACGATTAATATTTATAGGGAATCTTGTTTATGAAATAAACAGGCGTTTACTATGATCGCAGGTTGCAGTCATACGAGTGGCACTTTGCCTCGCAAAGGGATAAAGGCGGATCACGATGCCGAGGTCGTCGAGATGCTCCGAAATGCTGGCGCGATACCATTGTGCGTCACGAACACGCCAGAGATGTGCGCTGGCTTCGACAGCAACAATTTACTGTACGGCCGCACCTGTAATCCTTACGACACTAGGTTTTCGCCCGGTGGATCATCTGGTGGAGAGGTATAATTTAGCTCGAATCATTAAATATTTGAAAACCGTTTTAAGACTCTTGAAGAAAAATTCATAGTTTGTTCGTATAAAATAGAGGAGGCAAATTGAAAGAATAATATAAAATATTATAAGAAAAAAAATATTATATATATATATATATATATATATATATATATTTGTGTTCGTGAGTTGATGAAAGCGGCATCGATAACTTCAATTGCTAATCGCTCAGCTAATTATACAAAAAATATAACAATTAACAATTGAAGTTATCGATCGCTTCATCAACTCATGAACACAAATTATCTACAAAAATTGCCTGTCCAGATGACTTCAATCAACATCGGAATTTCAGGCAATTTCAATTCTTACGAAAGATGCGAGCAAAAGATCCGTTGCCATTTATTTCTCATTAACGACTTTCGCTTAAAGCACTTTCCTTTCTCGGAAAACTCAGACGCTGCACCACCACGCGATATCATTAGTTTGTAACTGATTGTGAGATACATATCGGATAGATAAAATACATATATAAATGTTTAAAATAATACAATCTGATACATTCTAAATAAAAAGAAAATAATGTTTTGTTTGAAAATGAATTCTTGTTTAAGGGTGCATTGCTCGGAGCAGGTGCTTCCGTGATCGGAGTTGGTTCGGACTTGGCTGGCTCTATAAGAGTACCTGCTTTTTTGAACGGCGTTTTCGGACACAAACCCACGTCTGGTAAATTGATCTTTATTAATATGTTAATATTCTCCATCACTGTGATCTATTAATGGACTCAGATCTCTTTTTACTTGAATCTAACTATTATTTTAGATTATATTTAGACATATATATTACAGATATTAATGAGTCTACTCTTGATGGAAAAAAAAAGATATTTTACAAGTTCGCCGAGAAAATGGAAAATAAAAAAAGTGCGATTAATATTAACAGTACTCTCTTCCCTCTGTTTTTACAGGACTCATTTCAAATATTGGGCACTTACCATACACCGAGGACAAATACTTTCAAAAGACCTTGACCATCGGCCCGATGACTAGATACGCCGAAGATCTCGGTTTGCTCATGAGAGTGATGACACTGAAATGCAATCGCGATCTGCGTTTAGATGTGCCGGTGGACTTGAAGCAAATGAAGATCTACTATCGGCAAAATTTGGACAGAACTTTCGGCGCATTGCCGATGTTGCCGGAAATTGAGACATGCGTCCTAAAAGCCGCTAATCATTTCGCGCGGTACGGCATTCGCGCGGAGAAGGTACAGTGTTTGCCGGTGTATCGGTGCGTGCATGATTTAATTTTAATGTTACTTTAACTTGATGTTACAGTTACCAATAGAATGGCCCACGACAATTATCGAAATTGCGATAACGGGTTACTTGAACATGAAGGAGCCCCCTCAACTGCTGATAGACGCGAACAATCTCAAGGTATTCAAGATGCGCATAGTTTTTTTTCCGTAAAATACAGTGACGATCATTATATTAAATAGTTTAGACGTGGCGCCTTACTGATTGTTTTGAAAATATAGTTTAAAGTATTATAATCTCTAAGATATGGCAGAGATAGAAAAGGAAAATTTAATTAAAACTAGCTGATTCTTCGTACGTGAAAGTCACGTCACGTTCGTGCCCTTTCCATACCGCGCTAAAAAAACGCAGACATATTTCACGGTGAGGTATTACGGTATTGCAGCCGCGTAGCGCAGGATTGCCGCAACGTTGTTTCAGAAGTGAAATGTGCCATTTTGTCAATGTTGCGATGCATAAATATTATTATTAGAATATCGCAGGAACCACGAAATTAAAACTAAGAAATTATGTATATACATAAAATTTCTTATAAAAGATGTACGTTTTAGTTTTGTATTGATTTTGATATCGATTTCCGCAGAACCGGAAAAATTCAAGCGTCGAAATGATGAAAGCTCTATTCGGTCTGTCGCAATACACGAAGCAGATGATACTGTACGCTATACCGCTTGAGACACATTTTCCGTTCACGGACTCGGAGGTATCGCAATACACGAAGCTGGCGGATGAGATTCGTCAGAAGTTGCTAGTTAGTGTTCCGGAAATTTAACACAATTATCACGTCTGTATTCAATTCTGCGTTATCGATTCTCCACACTTACCGTTTTCTTCCTTCGTCTCTCCCACAGGACCTTTTGGGGGACAATGGAGTATTTATTTACCCGACATACCGAAATTCGTTGATGTCACAGCTTGTGACGTGCGAAATCTCTACCATTGCGTACTGCGCCATTTTCAACATTATGAACTTTCCCGCGGTGCACGTGCCGATGGGGCTCAACCGCGAGGGGATGCCCATAGGCGTTCAGGTAAATTTCCATTAATTATGTAATTCAGGTTTCAACCGGAATGTGGTTTATATCTGCCTCTCGCGATAGGAAAATGTATGAACAACAATATTTGAAATAGGACAATCAGTTGCGTAATAATGCGTATAAAAACTTGCAGGTCATAGCCGCGCCTTATCAAGATCGTCTCTGTTTAGCGGTTGCGAAAGAGCTGGAGATGGCCTTCGGTGGCTGGGTGCCACCGTCATCATCGATGAGGGATTAAGTGCCTGAAGGTTTTTAATTTGTGTTTTTTGTAAATAAATTAAATCAAGCTAGGGAGGGGGGGGGGGTTGGTATCTTTTTGTTGCTACAAAGGCAAATGATGGAAATAGACAATCCCATAATCATAACGATCTCTTTTAGTAATCACTCTTATTATAGAATATTTCCACATAGATCTGAAAATACGATATTTTCAAATAAAATGTATACATTCCTTTGTTGCTGAAGGTTTATTAATATGTAAATATAAATATTTATATTAATATCATCGCATTGTATAATTATTCATATATGCGTAGCAACCACATGTGGATTCTAATAGATCACCCGGATGAGATCACTATCGCTTTACAACTATTGCTCAGCATAAAAATCTTTGCGAAATTTAACTCGACATTATTATCACTGCGTTCACAATCATTATTTATTAATTTATTCGCGCACAGTAACAGTATAAATTGTTCATGTCTGTTCTACATTCTTTATTATTCCTATTCTGAATAACTTATTTTATTATTAAATATCATCATTACCAGCGTAAACTCTTGCAGAGTATCAAGATTACTTTTATAGCTTGCAAATGTAGGCTAACAACGCGTAAGGAACCTCGATTATATCTTATTTTCTTTTGCTCTCATTTAAGGGGTAACATCACTTTGACGCCCTGAAATTTACGGCTTTTTCGAAAATTTTATTTTAATGCGAAATGTTTATAAAAATCCATTTACACTAATTTATTATACATATATTAAAGTAAAAATTGTATTTTTTTTTTAGTTGATATATTAAAAAATGACGGCTTGACATGATGGACGGGAGCGCTTCGAAAAAAGGGGGTCAAGCGGTGGGCACGATAGCTCATCGTAGACTTGACATAGAACAATGAAACAAAAAAAATTAGTTTTTTTAGCCCAAAAGCTAGTAGAATACATAGCCGTTTTAAAAAATATGCATTTTTAGTGACATGACCTCGAATTAAAGTAAAATGTAAATTGTGTTACCCCTTAAATAACTACGTTAGAATTGCAAAATCTTGATCGTGAAAGAGTAAATTGAGATATCGTTTTTCGCGCATACGTTTTGTAGAATTTCAGATGATCTCTGATTCTTTAATATATATATTTTTTTTTTTACGAAACGCGGAATACTGATCGGTCGACAATCGCTAGAATAGGAGTCTAAAAATAAGGACTTTCAATATTCGATAGTGTACCGACGAAAAAATTCTTCGACTTACGTAACTATGACGTAATATGCAATTTATGATACAAATGTATCGTCCGTGCCGTAATGCGCAAGGCACGTCTCGCAAGGCACAGAATCGCCGATGCATTCACCGGACTACGTAAAATACGTAAGGATCATCGCAAATTTCCGCGCTGATTTATGCGGCGTTTTTTTCTTTCTTTTTTTTTCTTGCGTGACGTGACGCAAAAGTACAATCCTCCCACGACCGCATGCATCACGAATTCTTCACTTCTTGCGATCGCACGACGCCACGTACGGTTTACCGCCGTACTTTTCCCACTCGCGATTGAATTCGTGTTCTAGAACCTCGGCACCGCGTTTCCTCGTTAATCCGGTCTCGTCCAGGCTTAACTCGCACATCTGCATATCGTCAATGCCTGCGGTGAATGAAAAACATAATTCTTTGAAAAGAAAATTATTTAACCCAACGGCGCGACTTAATGAGCAATTGTATAACACAAATTTAATGGTAAGAGAATTCAAGGACACCGCAAAGTTATAAAAACTTCAATAGTTACATTTGTGAATAGGCACAGTCAATTATTCTGTCTTTTTTTTTTTCATTTCATCTCTTGCCGTTAGGTACGTTTTATCTATTTGTATAGCCAGACTTATCTGGGCTAATCGTTATTCATTACATTATTAGAATATACGTGATTCAGAGCGTTATTTGCAATGCATAGTGTTTGAATTAGCATGAATAATAAATACATAAAGATAAATGATATGCCGGGATTTTACCTGCCACAAGGAGTATAGGCGGTTTGTCGGGATGCAGCTCCATTTGACGTGCCACGTATTGCCCGTCAAAGTGCGCGTACCACCATCCCCTCTTGCCGGCGCCGTGGGTATTGTCCTGCTGCCCGGCCGCGGAAGAACGGACGAAGGGGATTCGGAAATATCTCTGGGACGACTCGACTATCTGTTGCTTCAACGGCGTCCTCGGTGTTTTCGCAGCTGGAAAACACAGTCGACACTGTTCGCTTGAGATTCTCGCTTCCAAGGCCGCTCGCAATTATTTTTAATCAGTTATCAATCGCTATCGTTAATCTACTGCTATTAATAGATTAATCTAATCGCAATTAACGCTATTTCGTATTATTAATTCACAGTGACAGTAGTTATTTTACCTTCTTCCATGATGGACTTCGGCGCTCTCTCGTTCTCGTCCATGATAGTTCTTCTGCGGTTTCTCGCCTTCCAGGCATGATAAACTTTCAGCCTGCGATGAAACTCGTGACGGCAGGCCTGGAAACGAGCAATTTTTTTTTTCGAAATATCGAAACAATTACGGTATTACGTAACCGATATGCGTGCACGTACTTCAAGCAATTCGATATCGCAGGACGTATTGATTGCGTCTCGCAGCTCCGAGTACTTCCACTTGGACAGGTCGTACTTCTTGTTGCTCATAGCCGCCTGCTGATTGCGCACCTGCTCCGATCTACATTGCGAGCAGACACTCGTAAGAAAATAATACATAATTGCGATTTCATAACACTTCGCAACTCAACACTTTAACGTTGGGCTATGCCGAGTGCTAAGATACAAGGCATATTTGCTGGCATTAGTCTGCGAGAAAAATTAGTGCAAGCTACAATTAGTACGCCATGCTGTTCAGTGTGGGTAAAAAGAAATCTACACAAAAAAACTTATGAATGTTAAATTTAATCTCCGGTTAATGTAGCGTGCCTAGAAAAAACATTAGTCTACAAGAAAAGTTAGTGCAAGTTGAAATTAGTATGTGATACGGTTCAATGTGAATGAAAAAAAATCTACACAAAAATCTTACGAATGTTAAATTTATTCTCCGGTTAATGTAGCGTGCCTAGAAAAAACATTAGTCTATACAAGAAAAGTTAGTGCAAGTTGAAATTAGTATGTCATACGGTTCAGTGTGAATGAAAAAAAGTCTACACAAAAATCTGATAAATGTTTTTAATCTCAAATTGATATAGCATGTCTAAAAATTCATCGAGAATTATCGCGATTATTTTTCTCGACGGATTCTTCAAGAAATAATGAGTCTTCGACAGGAAATGATCTTATTCATAGTCAAATTTACCGAAGAATCGGTTGATGGAAAATGAATGTGGGTCACTGAATGAGGATTAATTAATTCGAAAACAGGAATAAATGAATCGCATTCAGCCGATTAGTTTTTCATGCAAAAAAAAACCGAGTAATCGTACCTTATTAGCCTGTTGTTGTTCATAGGCGTTCGTACATCGGAGCCACTGCGTCAATTTAAACAACAAAAATAGCATATCTTATTTCTATTTTAACAACATTTTTTATTTTTCTCGACGCGACGTCAGAACTATATTCAAACCAACGAGTTGAATACATTTCACTATTACCGATCGATGTACCGATAAAGTTATAGTTAGATATCGATACATTTGATCAACACGTTTAATCTATTGATAGCAAAACCGCGTACGTTAGTTTACATTAATTTGCTATTATATTAATTAACGCAATTTGAGACCCTTAAAGGTCGATTCTTTTAACGCGTTAAATATCTGCCTACTATTCAATTTTAATAATTTAAAAATTGCTTATAAACTTGTGCCAATTATATAAATTTAAAAAAAAGAAAATCTTACCTTCGTATAGGCGGCGGAGAATCTTCGACTTGTCCGTTCGATTCTTGAGCAAGTCTGACCGCCAACTCGTGGTCTCTTCTTTCTTGCTCCAGTAACTCTCGATACCGACTCTCTTCCACAGCTTCTTTCTCTAATTGGGCCTTTAAATAATACATAACGCACGAAAATAAAGCATAGTGCATATTAATAATCATTTACGACAAAAAATTGCTTAATTATTTGTCAATTATTTAATAAATAAAAATATTAATTTTTTATCGAATATTAATTATTTTTCGTATTTTACAATAAATTAAAAAAATATGTAAGACTATAAAGATGTGTTTATAATAATTTAGGTTTTTATTCTAAAATTTGTTAATGTAATTTACTCTTTTTAATTTATAAATTAACGATTACATAGAAATTCGAACCTGGAGAGCAGCCGCGGTCTTCTGATCCTCCTCCTCCTGTTTCCTCCTCTGCTTCTCCTCGATCTTCCTTCTGGCTTCCATATCGAGCTTTTTCCTCCTGTTCTCCTCCTCTTCCCTCTTTTTCCGTTCCTCCTCTTCCTTTCGATTCTTCTCCAGCTCGAGCTCCTGCTGAATCTTTCTTAATCTTGCCTGTTCCTCGGCGACCTTCTGCTGCTTCACCATATCTTGAAGAGCAGCCATTTGTTTGTTCACCTGATTCACCAGAGACGTGTAGAGGCCGTCGATCTCCGTCGGCGCGATCCTCTGGTTGTTTCTGATTTTACGTATAGCCGCCTCTAGATCGTCGTCGAGCCTCTTCATATCCTGCGTCGATCGCTCCCGATTCTTCAACTGACTCGCCGTCTCCTCCATTCGCGTCAACTGCTTCCGCAGATTCCTGATCTTCATGATACCGCGAATGCGCGGCCGGTGCTGCTTCTTCGCGATGTACATCCTCGCCGTTTTCTGCAGCACGATCAGATGCTGCCGCCGGTAGATGATCTTGTTCTTCAGTTTGATCACCGACAGCGCGCAGAACTGCAACTTGTTCCAGCGCGACTTGAGCAGCCACTTCTTCACGTTAGCGACCAGCTTGCGCAGATTCTCCGGATCGGACCTCATGATCCGATCGAATTCCGCGAACTTGCCCGGCTTGAAGAAGACGCGCGTGATGCCAAACTTGAAGTCCTTCTGGTTCAGCTTTAGACTGTGCAGCAGCGCCTCGCAGAAGAATCTGGGATCGAGCTTGGCGAGCTCCGGCGGCAGGTAGGACTTGTACATGCTGTAAAGCTCCTGGAAGGGCACCCGACTCGGATATCCGTGCTCCATCAGCTCCAACACCGACGTCATTCCCGAGCAGTGTAGCTGATTCAAAATGCTGTTGCCGTCGAACTGATGCGCCACCATGTCGCTGTTCGGCTTGATACATCTTATGAAATTCGTTCCCTATAAGAGAATTGAGGTAAGCATTGTAAACGTAGGAGTTGGAAAACGTTCGCAAAGTTCTGTAAATTCGAAAAATCCTTATTCTTACGTTGCTCTTTAACTTGTCCATGAGTTCGCCGAGCTGCGTCTTGAATTTACTGCCGACACTGATGAAGGTAAGCTTTCCCTTTTGCAACGAATGATTGGCGAACTGCGTCCTGAGGAATTTATTGCCGCTTTCCTGAATGAGCGCTTCCAGAGAGGCGTGCAGCGCATCGTTGTTCTTCTCAATAAATTGATTCTGCGGGAATAGAATATAAACTCACAGTTATATATGTACACTTTTTGTAGAGAAAAAAAATTTTCTAGATTCAAAATGAGCGTAAAGAAAGTCAGAAAGCGTTTTTTTTTTAACGCATTCACATGATCTTTTTACATGTCCACTATTTTATGGGCAACACATTGCTTTACCGTTTGATAGCAGACGCCGCCGGCGTAATGGCGAATCACGAAGCCCTCGTCGTCTCGTAATTCTCGATGAGCCTTCAATCGTGACGTTCGCGGTAAAGTGATGCGGAAGTGACCGCTCCACGCGCGGTGAACCTCATTGGTGAAATGCGCGAAACTGTGAGTCGGCAGTTTCGATTCTTCGTCCAGCAGGAAGAAGATACCCGTATTCTTCGATTCGATTAAATCTGAAAGTTGGCGTGACACGCGATTTATTTTCAAAATCTATAAGCGGAAGTACTACTTATTTATCATTTAATCTACGAAATGTTATCTCAAGTAAAATTTGAAAAGGATTTTTCGGATTTGTTTCGGATAACGAGAGATACCGCTAGGAAGATCCTCTAAATTATTTTTATATTAAACATAATGCATAATTCATTATTTAGTAATTATATAATTTGTGCCATTTTTCATTTTAAGAAATAAACGCTCGAATTTACTTCGCGCTCTACTGTCGCATGCAATTTTAATCTCACGCACCGATACAATCCTGATTATCGACGTATGAGATTTTCGGGACGTTCAAAGACTCTCGGGCGTAAAGCTCCTGCTCGTACTTTAGAATTCGCTCGTTGAAGAACTGCTGAAGTTTCTCGTTGCAGTAGTTTATGCAAAACTGCTCGAAGCTATTGACTTTGAAGTATTCTACAAACACGTGTGCAAGAGGAAAAAAAATTATTGCGATTTGCCTTTATATTAATCCAGAAGGAAAGTTCACTAATAATAATTTTCTCACCGAATCCAGCGATGTCCAGCACGCCGATGTAGTAACTCGAAGCCTTGAAAGGTATGCTCTTGTTAATCCGCGCGACAATGTGATCGAACAATTTGCTATAAATAGCCTTGCCGAGAGCGTCCCTAGCGTTATGAGCTTCGTAAACCTTCAGGGGCACCCTGTCGCAATTAGACAAATCGATAAAAGTAATCGAAAAAGATTGTGTTACAGAAGAAAATTTAAGAAATATTTAAATCGAAAAAAAAATCGAAAAAAGAATATTATTTGAAATCTTCGTGCACTCACATGATGACTGTTCCTTTGATGCCACCCCGGCTGGTTTGCATCACTTTCGAGACCAGGGCTTGTCGCAGCTCTTCGGGATCCACCCCTAGTAATTTCGCGGTTATCGTCACCGCTTTTCCTGAGTCGGCAGTTATCCTACAACCGCCCTTCGTATCCTCCGGATTGTCCTCGAACGTGATGTTGCCGAGATGAAGCACCGCGGCCACCATCGTGTAGATCTCCATGCGTTCGGCATCCGTTAAACCGAGTCGAGTAAATGCCTTTGTGATAAAAATATTGAAGAATTTAGAAACATGGAAAATTATAAAAATATTAGCGCAAAAGTGTAAGAAATTTTAAAAATATGTACATCAACAAAATGAGAACAAATATTATTATATATAAAATTATCGAAAGTTTATCAAGTTTTTGGATTGTTCGAAGATTTTGTGTGATTTATATCACATTGGAAGAAGTCAACGTACCTGATCGATAGCATTGAACCCTTCGACATCGTCCAAGATGGGATCATGCAAGCTGCGCTTCTGTATCTGTTCGCGGCTCTTCTGCGCCTCGTTCAATCGTTTCTCCGACCTCACGTTGCAGAAGTACTGAGTGCAGCCGTTTCTCAGGTAATGAAAGTCGTCCGGCTTGGTGATCCCCAACTTCGCGCGCAGATCGGCCGGCGCGCCAGCGCACATCATGTAGAACACATGATAATTCCGCTCGTCCGGGCTCTGCAAGCATACCCTGGACTTCTCCAGCAAGTAGTGGGAGATGTATCCGCCGACCACCTGGCACTTGGCGTCGAAGTGCACCTCCATGAACTTGCCGAAGCGTGAGCTGTTGTTGTTGCGCTTCGTCTTCGCGTTGCCGAACGCTTCCAGCACCGGAGTCGCTGCGGATCGATTCAATCAAACAAAAAAAAAATTACGTCACGATGGAATTCTAATTTATTGAACCGTGACGCTGAGTAAACAGTAACGAAAAGAACAAGACTCTCTTGCGACACGTCGCTTAACTAATTGCGTAATTTTTTTTTACGACACGTTCTTAATTATTATTTAATTATTTCACAATGTCAATTGATTGAATTAAATGTCACGAAGATTTATAAATAGAGTCTCTTCTTTTACCATCGAGAATCCTCTGTTCGATCGGACCGGCCGTCGAGCCCCAGAGATCGCAGAGATACCGCAGGAGATACTTGGTCGACTCGGTCTTGCCCGCTCCCGATTCGCCGGATACGATAATGCTCTGAGATTGTTTCAGCACTTTCATATCTCTGAACGCTTTGTCGCCTACGAAGATAAAGGAAAATCTCTCTGTACTCTCGCCGGGAGCGATTTAGCTATAGGGGGAAGAGATAAAGGGGGAAGGAAGAAATAAGGGTCATCATGCGTGCACGACGCGCGTACCGATGGCGAAGACGTGCGGTGGCTTTTCACCCAAGGACTTTCCCTGATAGGTCTTGATTGTCTGCTGCGAATAGAGATCCTTCACCTCGTAATACGGATTCACCGCTATCAGAATGTTGGCGACGTAAGTCTGAAATTTAACGGCGTAACGTGCGATTAAGAATGACGGAGGGGTGCGACGGGCGCCAACGACCTCGGCGCGGCGGCGCGGCGTCGTAATTACTCACGTATATCCTGTCCTTGAAGTAACGAGTGCGAATATTGTTCAGCAGCGTGGCCTCGTTCAGGTACATCAGGGCGCCTGAGAAGAAGAGGATTTAATTTAGAGAAAAAGAGACGAGCGCGGGAAGAAAAGAATCAGTGAAAGTGCCTTTGCGAAAAGAGCGAAAGTCTCGCGTCTCGTGAGAAGCGAGCGTGACCGCCGCGCCGCGATCTTAATCTCTGATATATAAAATGGACGAAACGCACAGGAGTGCGTCACGGTGTGTAACAATCGGGGGGAGGAATCGCGAGTAAACCAGCTAACGTATCTTTTCACTCCGTTCTCCTCCTTCTTAACATCTGCAGCGTAAGATCCGCCTCGCTGTCTTTACGAAGTCGAAACTGTACTTCGAAACAGTTTTTTTTTCCTTCTGTTTTTTTCTTCGCAAAATTGCGAGATACGACGCGCGTATGTTCCGAGAGAAAATATACAACTTACAATTGTCCTCGACATCTTTGGTGTATTCGCCGGCAGGATACACTTCGTCCAGCGGACAGGTGCGTTGCGGGTACTTCGGGTCGATGGGCACGATCAGAGCGTCCCCGTCCACCATGTCCGCGAATTTCCCGATTATGAAACCCTCCTGAGGGTCACGGACCCACACCTGTTGGTTCTCCATCCCCGAGCTTTACTCTGAAACCAAACGATTACACGATCGAGATGATGCACTCGAGGCGATCCTCTATATCGTCGTTACTTCTTAGTTCTCGTTTCGAGTACTCGAGAGAAAGTGTATTAAGTGGAATGTTTCGTATAATATAAATCATAATCATAAATCATAATTTTCTAACGCGAGAAATACATTTAAATTATTTATGAGGAATGTCACTAGACGTAGGATATCTTGCGATCACATCTGACGCGCTTTTCTAGCTATTTTGCAGTTAATTCTTTAGCTGATTTAAAATTAATATTTTTTCAAAAGTGCTGAGATTAACGTCAGCATTAGTTCTCAAGTAATTAGCTATAAATCAAAGGATCTTTTTCACTGAACTTTGGACAAATAGTTGACAGAATAATTGAACAATTTTGAAAAAGCTTCACCAATCTCAATTTGATTTTCATTTGACTCTTTCTTATAGATACGTAATAGGAAAATTCGTTAAACGACGACCTTTCTCGATTTTTTTGCTGAAGGAAAATCAACTTTAAACTGAACGGGCGTCTGTAGCTAAACGGATATCCGGTAGTTTCGCGGAATTATATTCAGTACGAAAGCGCAGACTCACGTTGAAATTCGCAACGAGAGCGATCGACGCGAGCGAGCGCGCTACAAAGACGAGTGTCATTCTCGCTTATACAGAACGTAAAGTCACCGACGACAGTTACTGCTGGCGCGGACACTTTCTAGTCTGTGTCTTTCGGAGAAGTTTCCGACGAACGAATCGTCCGTCCGCCCGACTTCCGGCGCTCTCTACCACGTATGCTGAATAAAGATTCTTAGCAGTCCCGACGATTCTTGGTCGTATTTTAAGCGGCGTATTATTGACGGAAGAAGCAACAAAAGTGCCATGACGATCGATAAGGATTGAAGGGGATTGGTGTAGTCCAAACGGTAGTCCCACGAGCGAGAATCTCTCACGCGAGTTTAAATAGCTTAGATAAATAATTCCGATAAATAGCTATCGGCGCGTTATCAGAATATGTTATACAAGAATAAAATATGAATTTCTTTCTCTCTCGTTATATCTGATGGTCAAAAAGTCGCCTTGTAAATCTCTGTGAAATCGTTCCTTCAACCTTTTAAAAATCGAATCAACATAAAAAATATTTTTAATTTCACTTTCGGATAAAATAAAGAAAATTTAAGAAATAATATTTAAATCGAAAAAAAATCAAAAAATAATATTTGAAATCTTCGTTGAAATCTGATGTTATCCAATTAATTTTATATTTCGCTAAAAAATTTTCTTCCATCTTATTTAATTATGTAGTATATTTTTAAGTCTGCCTAAAATATTGCCAGTTAGAACAATCGATTGTTCTGGGACACCTTGTATATGTATACGTGCAACGATTATTTTATGGACAATTCTGCGATAATGACGGAAGCAGAAGCTTATATCGATTTGAAAATTGGATGAAACTAGGTTCGTGCTTTGACGTTATAACACTCTTCTTATTTCGGCGATTTTCATTTTCGCCACGGCAACCAGACATGAAAATCGAAATTCTCAGTTTCAATTTATCGCTTATCGCGACGCGTTATCGAGATAAGCGCGCTGACGGAAGGTACGACGACTCCGAAATAATCACTGTTATTCATCGCCGAAACCGTACGGTGCAGCTGCTCCGTGTGTTCTTTTCATTTCTCTTTCTTAAAACAGCATCATCGGATTACGCCTCATCTGTCGAACTATATCTCTATTGTACTGACATTAATCCCGCACGAGAGATTCCATAATATAAAACACGAAATGGCAACATAATTCTTATCCAAAGTTTTTGCTTTTAAAATTAATGTATGCTAAATTATTCACCACCAAATAAAAATCTACAGGCGAAACGAAAATATGGACGACTCGGCACGCCACGTGCAAATATCAAGGTCCTCAGAAGTCCATTTTCTTTCAGAATGGCATCATTATTCACTGCACAAATTCCTTAATTTTCGTTCACCTGTCTCCGCTATCGCGCGCGCAATTTTCTCGATTGCGTAAAGGCCGTATATAAAGCAATCCTCCCGACGATTTTCGAGTTCAGTGTGCGCGGCGGACACGCTCCCGGGGTTGTGCAGGCGGTCGTGCGCGGCGATAAAATCACAGGCACAGGAGGCACAAAACGACACGTTGTCGTTGTCGTCGTCGTCGTCGTCGTCGTTCTGGCGACACGGTCGCTCCGTGTGTGTTTTCCGGCGTCACCAGGTTCGACAATCCGACAGGCAGCCGCGCGGCGATCAAAGGTCGTCACGAGCCGCTGCACCTCGCGTTTTACACGCGCCGCCGGCGCGCCGTGACAGAATTTCGAAAAAGCCCCGGCGTCCCCATATACCTCGTCCTCGTCGACCACGACACGGTGCACTGAGCCTGTCGCGTTTGCATGCGAGGGCATCCGATATGCACAGCATTTTTACTCGAAAAAGCGAAACGGAATCTATATAGAATGCGTAATCTGTATCCGCCTTTACTCTTATTTATCGTACACTAAACCGGAATCTTTCTTTTCAGTTTGTTACTCCTTCAGATGCTCCAGTTTTATTTTCCGATTTAAATTAAAATTGAATGCTTGAGAGGAGCGGGTGATAAATAGCGCGATACTTCAGTACGCAGTTCAGCGGAATAGTTGAATAAAGACGCTCTGTGTAATACCTGCAATTGTTATACTTGATATATAACACCGCGATTACCGTGTCGAATAGCAGTCGCAACCGCAATGGGAACCGCGCGCGCTCGGTCGATCTGGAAAGCGCGAGAAATTGCCTTGTTCCTTCTGTCGTACTCTCCCGCATCCCGTTAGAGATATCGTAACGGTAAAAGCCAGCGGTAAATCCTTGCATCGATCCACAGGACATCGCAGCTACGAGACGCGGCGCGGTGTGCATACGTTTTGAATCGTGCTAATCGCACGGAACGAATCCTCCGCTGGTCGGTTGGTGATGAACAACGACGACGACGACGACGACGACGATAACGACGACGACGATGACGATGACGATGAGGGATATCGAAACGGCTGTTTAAACCGATCCTGCCGAAGCGATACGGCCGAACGAAGCGAACAATGTTGCAACACGTTGCGGCGTCTAAGCATGCTAAGAAGCAATTTTCTGCGTTCTGCGAGAGATGCGAGGTGCATCGCAAAGAGGAAGGAAAGAAAGAGAGAAGAAGAAGTAGAAGAGAGAGAGAGAGAGAGAGAGAGAGAGAGGCGAGAAATCGTTCGCATCGGTTCGTTCACCTTCTTCTACGTAGCAGAAGAAACCGTAACGTCCAGCTGTTACATCGTTTTCCTCCCTTCCCTTCCCTCCCGTCGCCTCGTTAACCCTTTCCTTTTTCTTCTTATCCTTTTCTTTTTTAATTCGCGGTACAGCGAGGCGCGGTGGTATATATCGATCCTCCTCACTTGGGCTCGGCGCGTCTCCTCTTCTTCCGCTCGACGTCAGAGATCGCTTTCGTGGTGCATTGTTCCCCGAACGAGGTGCGGTACCGAGTTTGCCGCGTTCGTTCGCGACCTCACGCTCGCGCGAGACAGAGAGAGAGAGAGAGAGAGAGAGAGGAGACAGTCGCGTTAAATGCGCGCCTCGATCCGAATGCACTTTGCGTGCGGAGGTGCCTCGCGCTGACGCGTCGCGCGACAGGCCCCTAATCCCATTGAAAGGGCCGGTCGAAAGGGAATGAAAGGGACGCGAGAGGAAGCAGGAAACGGCAGGTGGGACCGGCATACCGAAACAGGGAGACACGCGTGAGCGCTCACCGAATTTACCGCAGCACCGAAAGCAGTAGTCAAAATAAAAGAAAGAAAAAAAATGTAGTCCATGAATTCCAAAGTGTACTGTTTTTTTTTACCGAGAAAACAGATACATGTCTTTAACATTCTTATCTATTACTATTTTATCAGCGTCGTATTGAGAGTGAAAAAAAAACCGGAGGTTTTATTGCGATGAAAGAACGAGAAATATCATTCTCGAATAATAATTTATTAATTCGATCATTAATCGCGTTACCAAAATTTTTCGTTTCGTTGCAGAAGTAATGCAAATTTAGTTTATTAGTACAAACGCGATTGGAAGATCCACATAATATGTTGATCGCAATGTCGAAAATGAAGTCAACGAGTCGCGTAATAAGAAACAATAGATTAAATATCAGTACAAAAGTGGTGCATTTATTAAAATACAGTTTATTTTCAAGACCAAATAAGAAGAACAACGTTAAATGATCGACTTCAGCAAATGTGGGATCTAATTATGATAAATTCGCCGCGCGACAGGTTTCTTGTTTCAATCACGGCGGTTGTTTTACGTCGTTTAACATTAATTGGAACAACCTTCGCACTGTCGCCGTCATCAAGAGCACTTGGCGATTAGATCGAGTGCAGTGGGTCGTAGAGCTTTCGGTCCCGCGGTCTCCCATTTGCATTGAGTTCCGCCGCGGTTCGTTTCGCGGCGGATTAATGAGGCGGTGCATTTTGCAAAATAGTTGAATCACATTTCGATCTACATCGAAATACGACTACCGGACGGATTCTCGATCAATCTTCATCGCGTATAATACTATACGGATATTACCGTCAATTTATACTGCACATTATTCCGCTTGTCGCCGTTAAATAGGCGTTGGCTAATGTGAACATTTGTTCTTTTTCTTTTCGGTCAATGACGTGACGTAATACATCCTCGCGCTCGCATCGCAAATGTCATCAATCTAACAGCGTGTGCACCAGTTTATTCCGTGAAACGAGGCCGGAAATTGATCCTGAGGGTGCCCGAGGATCGGTATGCAAATTTTCGAACGATTTGCTCCCTGAAAGGGAATCGATCGATAAACGGCTCGCGGGGAACGGCAGCGATCGGAAGTGGCCGCGATTCGCTTTTAAGTGCACACGATCGAGACCATGGATGAGTCACGGGCGTCCTCGACGTCTCTCTCACGGCAGCTCGCCCACCTACATATACATATAAAGGAGCGTGCGATTCTTTTTCCGCGGTTGCGTAACGCGATTCGCGCCGCGTCACACATTCGTTCGCCGAAAGGACTCGCTAAATGGCTGAGCGAAACTCTTTTCGCGAGGGGCGAGGGGCAATCTCAATTCTGTCGTCTCACTTTCGCCGTGTTACTGTCGCTAAACAGACAAGGGGGTATAAACGCTCGCCATTATCTCCGATTTCGATGAGTTTTTCACATGTCATAGAGTGGCCGACAATCGTAAGGCATTAAACATGAGAGCATATTAATTATTTTGCACGTGTCTTGTCGCTGAGGTCAGGATAATTTAGAGTAATCTAGACAGTTGATTCGACATCTCCGGTCAAATAGGTAAACTGCCGCGACATGGAAAAATAAATACAATGCCCTACCTCTCGGATGAAAGATTCGATCGAGTTTGAAGAACGTCGGGATTCAGAGATTCTAATCGTGATTATAACCGAAGCTGGATTCGCACGCTGACGACGTTCTCGCGAGCGGCAACGATTAATGCGGGAAGAATTTCGAGGAATCGTGAAATTGGTTTAAGTGTCTCCATTAACGATCGCAATTAATATATATGACCGTGGATCGTGAATGATTAAACGCGAGAAGAAGCAGCCGCGTAACACACCGCGCGCCGTTAATTACGCGACGTATTCGATAAGAAATCCGAGATAAAGATGTAATTAGGAATCGCGGGGTAATCAAAAACAATCTCGAGGCGCTTAACGAAGACAGAAAATCGCGACATATACATATATGTACATAGAAAATTAAGTGCAAATGTGAGCGCTTTAAAACACGACCGCTCGCAATTCGCTCTGATTCATTGTACCGGGAATTTATCTGAAAAAAATTCTTTCACACATTGTTATCAGCTTCGTTATCAGGGTCTCTCTAAGATCTAACATAAGATCATCTTTTTCGTAATTCTTTCTCTCTCTCTCTCTCTCTCCCTCTCTCCTCTCTTTTCCTTCAAAAGTGGTGCCGTTGCGAAAACGTGGAAATCCGCGCAACTGGCGGCAGTAATTACGGTTTTGCGAAGGTACTCATTCTATTTCGCAATCGAAAACGGCGCGGCGGACGTTTCGCGAGCGAGGTGCGCGTATCATCGTGCATTACGCGCAAGAGAGCACGGGCAATTTTTCTCTTTCTCCCCCTTTTTCATTTCCCTCTCCTCCCCCCCCCGTCCCCGGCTAGACTGGCGGATTGTTTTACGAGATGCACGTAGGCGCTTACGCAGGTTCACACACTAATTCACACGGGCCGTGCCGCGGCCGCGCTTTTGCATTCGCGCATTGCACCTGCCGCGCCGCGCCGCGCCGCGCCGCCCCGTTCCACTCTCCTAATCATGGACTAGATAAACCGGCGAGCGTGCAGAAAAAGGAAAAAAAAGAATTTCCAACAGCGATTTTTCATTCCCGCTTCGGCTCCCGCGGCCGCGCCGTAAAAGGGATACGGTAATACATTACGTAAAACTTATGCGCGTCCGTGCTCATGTGAATCACTCGCCCCGCTGATTTATTGCGTACCGGATGGTAACGACGAATGTGTTAATTCTAATGTTTCCCCCTATTAAATCGTTATGTTTTGCAAACAGAACGTCTTTCAAAATAGATAAATAGATCGATACGTGTCGGCTCTTCTCTCGTAATTGTTAGCGCGAATTTGCTTTCGCGTCTCCGAAACGCGGAGATCGGAGCTTCTGAAATTCAAAAATTAATCGCAAATCATTTGGAACGAACGTGAGAATAATATTCTACCCTCTATAGCGACTGTTTATATTTCCGGAGTTATTGATTCTCCAAACTTCTCTTAGTTGAATCTCGTCGCTAACACACAAGTTGGTCCCCGATTCGTTCGACGATCGTACACTCGGTCGACTTGTTGTTCTTACTTTCGAAGTTTAGCCCCGAGATTTACGACCGAAACATTGAGCGCACGTACTCGCGTACGTATTGCACGAGGACAATATTGCCGGTTACATCTGTCGAAAACAATAATTTAATCGTCGCGCTCTCGAGAGCGAAGGCGTCCGCGACGTATCGGCCTCTGTCGCTACGCGGCGGAGCCCGCGATCGCGCTCCCCGACGAATTTCGCGAAACACGCGCGGAACGATTTTTTTTCAGAGATTTGCAGAGCGATTTACTCACCGTCTCGCTGTGCGAGGACAGTCAGCCGGCCGGAGCGAAACTATATACGAACGGCACAAAATCCGACATGCAACTGATGTTCGGCGCGGCTACACGGTCAACACGGTGCCCGCTCCGCTCGCTCGGCGATCCACGGCTGTTTCCGCCGATGCCACGCGGCAGACAGCGATCGTACCAGCACGTAGATCGTGTACCGCCGTCGCCGTCGCTCATACCAGTGGGTATCCCCGCCCGCAGATGATCTCGGAACACTCGGAACGTCGGGGAGAACCGAGGGGGTTCGCCACAGAGCGCGCAGCTGAAATGAATTCACAGACACGGAGGTTGGATTGTTCAGCAATTGAAATACGGATCTCGAATTATGAATTTAGATCATAATTCTCGCGGTGGTATTGTTGTTGCTGCGGTACCAGCAGCGATGTCTCGATCTCGGGATCAGCGGAGGAACGTCGAGATGAAACGAATTTATGACTAACAATAAGCGTGAAATTGAATCTGCAATTTAAAATGATAAATAATGTAATATACAACAATTATTATAATTCACATTTAAGTGTTTTTTTTATATGCTATGGATTTTAGTATGATTGTGGTTACAAAATTTTCAAAGACATATATTTGTATAAGAAGATTATATGTATTAAAGGAGGTAAATAATCTTTTTATCATTGAATACAAAATAACAAAATTCATATTGCAAGCATAATATAAATATCTAATTTATTCATTTATTAGACCGTACTAAAATGTCTATTCTATAATATTCTTTTATAATACGAGTATTATATTTATTGGTTGTTGAAGAACGTTTCATAACACAATAAATATAAAAATAGATATTATCACATTATTGTACAGTTTAATTTTTGCCAATTTGAATTTAAAATTTTGACGACCAACATATATAATGTATATATGTAGTTATCAAAAGCATGTCGATTTATCGAACGTTGGTATAAATTCAATTTTGATATCAAGACTTTTAAAAATTTGAAAAATATAAAAAAAATATAATGCAACACGCGCTTTACGGTCTCTCTACATTTATTCAATTTTTAAACGTTTTATTTGTCGAGTTTTGTTTAATGCCAAAAGATAAATTATCGACGTGCTATATATGGATTTAAGTATTGACATCATCATTATTTCCACAGGCAATTAACAGTGCTTAATATATATTTACATACTGTACATAATGTAATTTTGACAGTATTTTATTTATGCAACGTTAAAAAGCACATAATGCCGACAAGCCGGTTCCTTCTAGCTGTGTCTAGGCGTTTTCGATAGCGATTTATTTTTAATTTTTACCGCGCAAATAGATTGATCGGCGGACTAATCAATGTCTTTGACGTTGGAAAATCAGATCAGGAAAGAGATGTAATTGCAAAAACGTCCGGTGGTTTAAAGACGCTATAAATAATAATAAGAAAGTCAGTAAATGCAGAGAACGAGTGCATACGCGACGAAGGCCGAGTAAATACCGTTACCGACAATCGAGCAGCACCGAGAGCTCGTGTACGCGCTTCTCTACTTACTTCCTGTACTTACCACTTTAAGTAACTGCAATTGAAGAGAAATACGTAGCAGGTTGATTCACTGCAACTCTATTTTCGACGTCCACACACTTTACTTTATATCTGAATATTACGATGAATGAGATTCACCTTTCTTTTCTTTGTTCTTCAAATCGTTCAGATTTTAAAATTTCGAACTTATTTGTTTCTGAAATTACGATGTCCGAGTTTTGAATCGTAATAAGCATCTCGAAAATCAACAAGATATCAGAAGAATATGATCGACGAGGAGATTACATTGTCTAACAATAAGATTCCAAGAATTTTCCATTGCGTAGTTGATACTTTATCTTTTTTATTTCCCAGTGCAATTATCATAGCATTAATCCCTTTAATGGATTTTCTGTATACAATTTATCAAAGTTCTTCGTCTTGAAATATAAAATTACTTATTTTATTTAATTCAAAAGGCATATTCGCTGGAAAAAACCAGCGCTTTATCATTATCTCTGTTTATCATAATTTCTGCAAATGTGTCATACTGTGTACGATCTGGTACATACCACGAGTACGCTTATGATGATGTACTTTCCAGCGGTAATCCCGCTGACAATTTGTTTTTATCAAACAGAACTATTTTTTTCGCGTTTCTTCATTTAAGCTTTCTTTTTAATTTGAATGAATAATAATTAAACGGATTCCACAAATTCTTTCGAAAGCTCTTATATGTACCAATAGTGAAAAAATTTTCATCTTAAAAAGGAAGATCATTGCGGTATTATACAATTAGATTTCAAGTTAGTCGAGCATCGAATAGCTCCGGTTAGCAACAAGGAAGATCTAACCGCCGCGATTACAAACCTAATTATGCATTCCTAAACCAAGACGAGAACGGTATAAATACGATTTTCGTCGAGATAATATCTGATATCGATGAATAAGAAAAATAGGTCTGGTGGAACGCAATCTTTGTTTTTTGCTCGTATTGACGAGTGATTAATATTTAACGTCACTTTATCTCTGGCTATCTGGCCACCATGGCCGCAGATGGCACAGAAAGAGCGCACTGCAGTATCAATCATGTACAAATGGACAAACAAGCATATTGTTTGGCAAGCGATCGTAATCGTCGGCTCCGCGTGATAATATACGTGTGATCGAAGTGGCGCGATAAAAAAACAAACGAATAGTTCATTGGCATTGAACTCTTCGCAATTTCGCGCGAGAACTCTTTTCGCATGTCCCGTCGAACGGGCAACGGCGTTCGAGATCTCGCCGCAACTCCGTTTTCTCGACGTCCCGGTGAAAGCTAAGTACACCTGAATTTCGTTTCCGTCACAACGTAGCGTAGTGGAAATTCTTATAAAAGGAACGGAGAAAACAATTACACACGAAGAAACTGTTTTGTCGACACACACTTCTCACATAACGTTTTATCTAATTTCAGACGTCTAACGACGTTTCCTTTTATCGTCTAACAATGCTGTTTCTTTTATCGTTTAACGATGCTTTTGATAGAAATATATTTATTGTCGCCCATACATTCACACAAAGACACTCCTGATAAGACTATAAATGAACTCGAAATAATACAAAGATAATGCAAAAATTTTCAATAATTGACGCCCACTTTTGGAGGAAGAGATGTTTCAAGCGCAGTGTAAAACAAAACTAACATAATTTCAATGTATGTTTTTTCAAAGAAATTTATATTTTTGTTTTAGATATTTAGATTTCAGATAAAATGCATTTCTCCTTTTCCAATAAAACTATAAGGAATTGTAATAAGACGCACGGTTTACATTAAATACCTCTTCACTTTAAAATAAACAAATTTACTTGACTAAAATAAAAGAAAAAATAACAGAAGTGACTCATACTCTTCGTGATTTTGTGAACAAAAAATGTAACAAAACGCGCGGAGGCGCGTAAAAACGGATTCTTTATGAATTCTAAACGTGGTCCATGACATCTCCTTAGTCACCGTTAGTAGTTCAAGTTATATTGGGAATGTAAATACTCGCGTAACAAACGAAATATATGCGGCGACGATTTTACGGTATCCTTCATTTTCGTCACGAACGTTGGACAGCGAAAATAACGGCGGCGATGATGAATCGCGTCGTTCGGTCGCCCACGATCGAGATCCTTTGTAAATGGCTTGTGAAAAATATGTAAATTAATTGCATCTTAATGCTCAATTTATTTGCACACAATAAAACGTGTGCACTTTATCAAATACAACGGAATGATAATGCGTTATGTTTTACGATGCACGGAATATCATCGACAGATGCTGCTTTCCTGATGCGATTACGTCAGATATTCAAATTCGACGCAATTACGGTTGTTTAAAGAATGGAAAGAAACTGCGTGAAATAAGCGTGTGGGAGTATCGCAGGAGCCGACAAAGGTTCCGACAGTTCCGATGAATCTGTGCGCGAAATGAGTGAATTGAAAGAAGAGACGCGACGGAAAAGCCGTTTTACGAAGTTAGAAATTCCTTATCTTTGAAATCGAAAATTCGCAAACGTGAATATTTGATTTCGTAGAGATAAATGCCTTCTCAGCACATTTCACATTTAAGTATTCTTCGCAGAAATACATATTTGGTCTCAGCGAAAAAAAAGTGACGTTACGGAATTTTGCAAGGCCACGGCGCAGAAAAATATTAAACGATAAGTGATTTAAAACAGAAGAGCAATGAGGCAAGCAATAAAAGTAAGCATGAAATATTTGTACCGCTTAAACCAACAACACTTGCGATTCTGAAAAGTACGATTTACGATTACGATAACGCGCGAATATACTATTTATATTTTTCGTCGTTTCGATATCTTTTAGTACTTCCCAATGCTTCTAAGAATAGAAGAAAGTAGTGATAAAATAGAAGAAAAATACAAATAAACTATTTTGTATTACGTATCACTTAAATGAATTCATATTAAACTGAATTTATATGATAACTGAATGTATATTAATTGCACATGATATTAATAATATCAGTGAAAATTTATTTTTAATTAGCAATATGAGTATATAAAATTTTTACTTCGTAATTTTTTGTGTTGTAGTTTTTTTACAGAGTTTTATCTTGTTTAAAGATACGATGAAATAAAAATAGTTTTTATTCAGTTATCAACTATATATTGCGTGGTATATAACGCATTGATAAGCGCGGGTATGTATCTTAATTAAACACACGCCTCTTGTTAAACAGAAGTGTCATCTCTAATCTACGGAGCCTGCAATAAGCTCCCTTTTCGCACACGCGCGACAATTTGTGAAAGCGCGTCAGGGAGATCCCCTCACTGGGGGATTCTCGCGGAGGAATAGACGATAACGTGGAAAACGCGCGTGGGAAGATAATTGCATGCAAGAGATACGACAGCATCATCCGACATTCCGGTCGATTATTCGATCGTCGTTAACTGCATTCCAGGTTCGAATACTTCCTTACGAGTTTTCGCTCACTCTCTCTCTCTCTCTCTCTCTCTGTCTCTCTCTCTCTCTCCCTTTCTCTCTCTCTCTCCTTCTCTCTTTCCCTCTCTTCCCTCTGATGCCGCGTCGCGTGAGTCACGTACGTAATTGGGGTGAAAATGTAGATTTGCAAAAGGGTCACTTTGATCAATTCCGGTTAATATCCAACGATGTTAACTCAGAATTCGTGGAATTGCTAACGACATGATTGTATTGATCATCGATTAAAATTGATCGAACCTGATCGAAACATCTCCTCCGCCGCTTTTCCCCACCACGAGATAATCCTGAACGTCGTCGCGTCCGACGTTTCAGGAATCCTCTTGATGCTTCATTCCACGCTCGTGCATTCCACCCGGCACGGTGCCTCACACAGTGATCCCTTCTGCTGGTACCTCTTTAAAGTCACCGGCGCGTCTTCGGCGTCGTTACTCCGCGTCCGGCATCGTTCGGCGTTGCAGGCCAGATCAACCGGTGGTGGTCCATCCGCGTGGTCTACGACTACGCCCAGCGTAGTCCTCCTCCACTGTCGCACCGTGAGAACTGTAAACATTATACTAAAAAATTATCTGATACCGATCTCGACGATCGTTATCGGGGATTGCAGGCAAGGTGTTTCTCGCGAGTGTGTGGTGTGTGTGTGTGTGTGTGTGTGCGTGTGTGTTGATTCACGTTGCATTTTCATGACGAGACGTCTGTTGGCGGTCTGTTATTTTATCGAAACGTGTCTCACTCATCAGACATAATTTATGTCGCTTATATGATTCGATTCATCATATCTCGATTATAATACTTTGACGTTTTACAATGACATTCATTCTTCGTCGATCCGATCGCATTCGATCAGCATTTTGATCAGTGTCCAGTTTTCGTCGACACATTCCTCAGATTGGCTGCCCGCCCAGTGAAATACTCACCGTTCAAAAACGACGTTCGCCTTTCTCGTTGAAAAATCATATTAGATCTTTGAAAAGATTCAGGTGAGAAGACAAAGCATTAACCACGCCTAAATAGCATAAAAAGATTTTTCAGAATGTTCTTACTCGTAAATTCCGGATTGCTTAAGCATCATATTGTATTTATAAATAATCGGATTTAAAAAAAAAAAAAGAAATTGTTTCAAGGAAATCTTCAGGATCGGTTTTATAAGCGTTAAGTTTTGTCCGTGAATATTTGACGAATAACAGTCTCACGTCATTGGAGTTAGAATTCGAAAATAACTCATAAGTTCCAGGAAACCTCTACGCATTATTTTCCATTTTTAAATCCTGATAACTCGGGTCCTAATCAAAACTTTTTATCTACTCTTTCAACCTTTTTTATCACGACATATCACTCCACCGCCGGTTATATTTTCGGAAGGAACAACTTTTTTTACCTGTGAATACCAATTAGTATAGCCTAAAGATTTAAATTAAAAGTTGCAAGGATCTAAAATAGAAGAGCGCGTAGGAGTGTCTTGAGATTTAATGAATCAAGTGTGAATTAAATGTATTCTTGACTCAGAACGAGGATAAAGTGTATTAGAGCGGCGATTAAATCACTGTCATTAACATGCTCTACTGCTAGTGACATGACGATAATCGACGATAAGTCAGAAGCATCCAAATCATGGCCCATGAATTACGCTGACGCAGCTGCGTTTGTGGCGTGCGTGCATTAAACAAAACTCCGACACGCATCCCGTATCGTGTATTAAGCAGCACACGCGCGTTCTACTTAATATATACGGTATCCGACTCACTAGTTTTACGCGAACTTTGTTACGGTTTTCTCGCGCGTGCGAAAGAGATTCCCCGAAGTTCTCGCGGAAACGAAATCAGGCATGATAAATAAAATATGTAAATAAAAGTCCCGAATAAATGTCAAAACCGGACGAAGAAGACGCCGAGTGTTTTCCAAAACGTTTTTAACGATACGTCGATACATATAACGGCGAAATTTAAAAATTAATTTTTGTTCCCTCTTTCTAGTCTTCTAAAAATAAACGCAGTAATACAAAAATTTTCCGTATCCGGTAATGAAGAGCGGGATTTTTATGCGGATTTTTGTGCGTTTTTCCTCGTGCGAGGGGATTCCCCTGTGTTCTCGCGGGAACGACCGACCGGTGAAATGCTAATGCAAAGGTACGTGCGATGCCTCCTCATTGCGTTCGAAACCGTATAATCGGCCGGACCGCCGCGTCAGCATTTAGAAGTTGTCACGTTTTTTACCCGATTATCGTATGTCTGTGCGGTATTTCCAACAATTGTAACTTAACCGCGACAGAATTTGGAATGTGATGCCTATACAGAGATCGAGTGAATATAATTAATAACTTAATTATTAATAGCTAATGTGATTTTTTATACGATTCGCGATACATTAAAATTAATAAAATTAACAATGTCTTCGTTCGACACGTAATTAATAATATAAACAAGTAGCGATATTTCAATTAATAATATAAATATTTTTTAGTATAGTGATATTTTCCGGGCGCCAGTAAATTTCCCGATCCGTTATCTTCTATTTCATGAGATATTATAAATAATCCTGTTATTTGTTGAAATTCGCGGCGAGAGATGTCGATTCGGATACCGATATCAATAAGACATCGATCGGAAGTTCTTATAATTGCGCTTACGTGCGACGACAGCGATGTATAATCGACCGACATATGTATGTATTTACATATATAAGAGGCTCTTACGCAATTGCGTAATCATAGACCTATCGAGGTAGCGGTATCAGCTGTTTAAATGTGGATTAATAGGCGATCAAAGAGAGAGAAAGAGAAAGAGTTAGAGAGAGAGAGAGAGAGAGAGAGAGAAAGGTGGGGAGAAAAACACTTGACGAAACTCCCCGAGGCGACGGAAACGTACCTATAGATAAAAAATAATTAACAAGATATTTAATTTCTTAACGAGCAGGCGGTGTGGGAAAAATTGTTTTTCACGATAATTTTGTTCCCTGCACCAATTTAATTTCCGACGGAAGGAATTTTCCCGGCGTTTAATGTCCAACTTGATCTTAAATGATCCATGGTCACGTTATGGTATAAGTTACGGTAAAAGAGAGACTGACAGAAGTTCCTTATTTCTTTTTCCAGGATAAGCAATCGATCTCCTACTCGAACATTTACCTTGAACAGAAATCCCTCTCCTCTCCCCCCCCCCTCCCCTCGATCCGATGACTTTTGACTTTTTTTTACCCGCCAGAGGGTCACGCCGCACTGCACTTTCACTGCATTCGATTCCTCGGTGCCTAGCACTGCCGCGCATTTCAAAGGCCGTTACTTCTTCCCGCGGCGTTCTCGCGCGGTTGTTTCGCGCCGCGAATTGCACGAGCCGAGCGAGCTAACGAACGATCGAGCACCGTTAAATCGCGCCACTGAATCGGCACGAGCGGAAAAGATCGGCGCGGTACGATTGCCGATTCCCACGTCCCACGAGCGAGCTTTTCGCAACAATTTCCTTTCGCCTCTCTTCGAAAGAGGAAAAAAAAGAGAGAAGAAAGATACGTCGATAGATCGCGCGAACGCTGGACGTCTTGCTCCTCACGGAAGGAGCGCACGAAGACCAAAAAGATTAGGATAGATTAAGATAACGGTTGCGGTATAAGCAATATGAATTAAAATCGTTGGAAAACACACACGCACACATATGTCTGTGCACGAATCTTTCTCTTTCCTCTCTCTTTTCTCTTTCAGCTGTAATGTACTACACGTCGTAATCGATCCGATCGTCGATCGGGGTAAGGCGCCGTCCTTCGCAGCATCGATTCCTTATCCTTCAACCACGGACGATCATTATCGCTTCTCTTTCTCTCGCACGGAGAGTTACATACGCGGGTATCCCACAATCATGCACACGCACCGTCCCCGTACGTGGATATGCGCATATGTGCAGAGATGCCTGTTGCCGCCGGCCGCGCCGGACGGTGGGTCCGTTTACATTCATCCGCGGGCGTTATCGCGCGATACTCGCGACGACGTGACGAGATCGGAAGACGATACCGAATGACACACTGTATATATACGGCGGGTGGAAAAGGTGGTGCGATTAGTGGTGTACTGGCTCCCGTTATACACGGTGTCGCAAACGTGTGCTCGCTGGAGACGCCGCGTCTTACAATTAGTGCAACGTCGCGCGAGGGAAAAAGCCGATAGGAGACGGCTTACCTAAGAAAGGTAGACGACGACGTTAATTTATCCGACGTGCGATCTATGTATTTGTAATCGGTTGTGCAATTTCTTGTAATCGCGGTTGTGTAATTTCTTGCTACCAGCGCGATATTCCGCGGTGCTTTTCCGTCACGACGTGTATCTCGATGAACAATGATATCTGTCGTTTAGAAAAAAAAATTGTCTTTGCGCGATAAGCCCGGAGTAATATAAAGTGTAATATAAAGCGCGCTGCTCGATGTCCTCTAAATAGTCCATTACGAAAAGTTTATTACAACGTATAAAATTACACTTTCATTGAATTGCTTCCGCAATATATTGCAATATTTAACAATAAAATATAACGACTTTGGCGCAACGCAAGGTTTAACGTTTCGGACAATAATCTGACAATTTTATTACCAAATTCCACGAAACCGCGCCGGCCCGTTGATTGAGTTTCTCGGCACCGGATTGCATTGCATTTCACTCCGATTTCGCTGATGCAATCTATTTTTTGGACAATTGAGACCCGTAAATTTATACAGATCGAACAAACAAACAGATTTTTAGCATTTCAAATGTATTCGCGTCGAATCAAATAAATTACATAACTCGTTTCGGACAAGTTACGCAGAAATAATAACACCGTAAAATTTTCAAGTGACGCGACAGTGAAACTATTATCGCATACTATCGAAAATTAACGAGATAAGTTGCTTTCCTTTAAGATACAAAATATGTATATCAATGATGAGATGGAAAGTAGGGAGTAAAAGTAATTTTACAGAAAAATTCTTATCTCTACATCTTTCATCTCTCCGACAATAAAACTATGCGAGTTTAGTTATACTCGAGTTAACATACAGAACTTTCATAAAACTTACTTTTTTTAGAGAGAATAATACGAAGAAAGATAAAGAAGAAACACTTATTTAGACATATGGTTTTATGGTTTTTATTTAGATATATGGGCAAAAAATTCTTGGAAAATACCTGCGTCTGTAAAAATTGCAATTATAAAACTGTTCATTCGAGATGATTTTCTCTAAGCGAATCTTTGATTGACAAACGCAATGGATTGACGATACGCCCCCTGGCCATATTACGTGATATGCAGAAATAATTTCTCTTTTTTATCAGACGACACTTATCAGTAACACCTATCGTGCGATAATTAATATAAAACTAATAAAACCAGGAAGTGCAGATTTACTATCATCAATAACATTGTACAGAAACTTGACTTTCGATCCTTGATTCGCGAAAGATTATGAGATTGCTTTGCAAGTATAAGATAAGTCTAACAACAAAAGTGTGGAAGAGAGAGAGAAAACAAGGGATAGAGATAAATTTCTAAAATAAATGTATATAACAATAAGAGAAGAGAGCTTGGATAATGCGGAAATTTTCCCCGAAAACATGAGAAGATGATGTTTCCTTAGCGAAGCTAATACACTGACACAGAATTTCTGCGCGTGGTAATGAAATACCCTGAAGCCGTGAAATGAAAGAAAATATATTAAAAATATCGCGAGTCGACGTTTAACTGCTGACTGTAATAAATATCCGCGAGAAATGTCGAGATAAAGTTCACGGTCATAAAAAGATTAGGCACGTATCTTCGTAATTTTAGAAAGAGCTGCATGTAGCTTCATTACGATCGAAAACACAACGCCCGGCAGGGCGAAAATACCGAACGGGACGGATTGGTTGAACAACATTGTTAGAAAATTTAATATTTTTTAATCAATTAATTTGCCCCCACATCGTCATCAAGATAACGATTAAGACTTAAGTTCCCACGTATCTTAACTTTATCTGAGAAGCTTGTTCATAATTAAATATTTAAGAACGGAGATAACAATCTTATTATTCACAGACGAATGTATAACGCGATAATCTGTAAGATTAATTATATCATTGCGGTTTTGCAGTGAAGAAGAATTGGAGGATTCGCCACCATGTCACTGATAGACGCCTTGCTCGCGGCGGCGGGAGTGAACACGTCGTATTATCACGACGAGGGAGAGCATCCCTCGGAGGATTCCGAAAAGGATGTATTAACCGCTAAAGCCGTCACCATGGTGGTTTTGTGCGCTGTCAGCACGATCATGGGCATCGTACCGATGTTTTTGGCAAAATGGTTGAAGTGGGACATGAGCGATCAAAATCCCAGGTGAAGAGATAGCATCTTAAGCGACGGCTCTCTAATATACTCATATACAAATCACGATAAGACCTATATCGTAATAATTCTCAAGTATTTACTCGTATATTTAATCATAATAAGTCTCAAGAGAGTAACTTAATATTGTCTAACTTCAATTATACTTTTATGAGTCACTTGCAAGTCAATAATTTTGACAAAATAATTTTCGATACGTCTACTTGTTTGTAAAAAAAATCTATCTTTAACGAGATAAACATAAAAGTAAAAAAATTAATTCAGATTTGTATTCGCGAATATCCGCACGCGACAAAGTATGTAGGATCGCAATTCAAGGCGTACGTTCGCTGGTGATAACGCGACAGACTACGGCAACGTAATCCTCAAATGACATAAGTGACATACATCGCGTCTCGCCGATATCGCTTTAAGACCGATGATGTAATACGGCCGAATTGACGAGTTTAAATCACCAAGTACCGCTTTATTGCACGTAGATCGATGAGGACGGTGGGTATATTGCTCGGCTTCGGCGGAGGCGTTCTCTTCAGCACGACGTTTCTTCACTTGATACCAGAAGTCGCGGAAGGCGTGCAGAACCTCGTCGAGTCCGGCAAGATGCCGGAGCTCAAGTTCTCGCTCGCAGATATGCTTGCATGCACCGGGTGAGTCAGTCCTTTGACGTCATTACGTACAAATGCAAAATAAAAAAAATCACCTCCGCAGAGGTGGAATTTCTTTTCTCCTCATGGACGAGTGATGTATTACCTTCGTTTCAGCAAGAAGCAAAATATTATTCGCAACTCGATTTGAAAATTGTCGATCCAATCGATATATAATCGCGATTTTACAAAGATAATTATTTGTACATTTAATTCAACTTATTGAACGCAATTTATGATAACAGTGTCAATTTTATCTCGACAATAATTTTATTATAAGGTAATTGTCCCTATTAGTGCGCTTTTATATTTAAATAAGTCATAAAAATAAACTGGTGCAAATAAATAAAGTATTTTTTTTATTAAGTTAAAGTATTAACTTAATAAAAAAAAACTTTGTATTTTTTTATTTAGTAGTTTATTTTTATTACTTATTTATTATATTATTAAAGTATTAACTTAATAAAAAAAATACTTTGTCTATTTATTTGTACTAATTTACTTTTGACTTATTTAAATATAAAAGCACACTAATAGGGACAGTTACCCTATTCCTTAATAATTGTCGAATCAGCAAATGTGTTGTTGAAATGAATGCGGTATAACGCTTCAGGATTAAGGAACTAATTATCGCGGATTTCTTTCGCAGATTCTTCATCATGTACCTGGTGGAGGAGTCTGTGCACACGTATCTCAGGAAGCGACAAACGGGGCGGAAGGACAGTTGCAAGAAGGACATGAATCTCAGCACGAACGAATTGGTGGAGAACGGCCAAACGTCGCAGCCGTGCGCCAGCAACGGTCACGCACACGCGTAAGCATGTTTGCGCTCGACTTTATCAAACGTGTTTTTTCATATCGCCGTCGTGCCGATGACACTTTCGACGGCGCGGCGCGAAGAAACCGCGGGAAAAACTTCATCTCCTCTTTAATTTATAGGGGCCACAGCCATTTACCGGCGATAATGGATGATGACTTCGTGATAACTTCGCTGAGAGGCTTATTAATAGTACTCGGTTTATCCGTGCACGAGCTCTTCGAGGGACTGGCGATCGGTTTAGAGAGCTCAGCCGGCCACGTCTGGTAATTGCATCGCGAATTGCGTCTTCAATCCCTAATTCGAGCCGCGCTCGTCTGCGCTCGTGCCCTAAATTAACCGTCACTAAGACGGGCGGCGACAAACCTCGCGTACTAGAAATGTAGCATTATATTTTCACAATCGCTCTACGCCTGTAATTGCAATGAAAAAAGAAGCTTCAATGATTTTAGATCTAACTACCAGTTTTATTGGTATAATTTGAGTCCAAGGACGAAACTGAATATAAATTTTCTAAAAAAGTCATGTTATTAGCTCGGATTGATAAGCTTCAAGATTGAGCTTCTAATTGGCGATTGATAATACTGTTAGTAATCGCGCTACGCTATTTATAGTACCGCCGCCGCCGCATTGAGCCGCTCCCGCGCGAACGAAGGCTCGAGCTGTGATATGACAAACGATTACAATTCGTCCCGTAGGTACATGTTCCTCGCGGTGGCGTCCCATAAATTCGTCATTGCCTTTTGCATCGGCGTCGAACTGATCGCGTCCAGAACGAGGCCGTACCTATCCGTGATTTACACATGCACGTTCGCCGTGGTGTCGCCGATTGGGATCGGCATCGGGATGGGCCTCGTTGGCGGCGGAAGCGCGGCCGCGAGCGGACCAATGGCAGTGATACTGCAGGCAAGTTTCTCAATCTCTTTTGGGAGGGGGGCAGGGGTGAGATACCGGTTTCCACGAAATAAAAAATTTTTGATGAGACAATCGATGATGCGAACACGCGTGTAAAATTTTATTGATATTCAGAGAAATGGGATTCTGCGTAATCTGTGGACTGGTGGAGCAAAGAAACGCGCGGTAAACTGCAAAGAAATAATACTATCTTACTTTTTTTTCTCATCGTAGGGACTGGCATCGGGTACTCTGCTCTACGTGGTGTTCTTCGAGATCCTGCAGGAGCATCGCACCGGACTGAGGCAGTACCTCTCGATCCTCGTCGGTTTCCTCGTGATGTTCGGCTTGCAGATGTTGAGTAAGTACAAACAATTTCATTGCGCGCTAACGCATAGCGTTGTTTTTGTATCCGTCGTTGATAGCAGCAGACATAAGAATTGGAGTATTTAGCGCGCTGTAAGTAAACGCCCGATCTCTGCGCTCTGTTAAACGCGCTCGTCGTATCTAATAAATAAAACTGGGAATTTTAATAGATAAGAACATTGTGTTGATATACGTCTCGCTCACTTATTGACTTGTCTGTATTTCAACGATGGAAATGCGTTGCAATCTTTCCACGAGAACGTATCGGCCACGTTAGAAAAATCAAAATACAAGATACGCCGATAAAAAGAACGATATTAAACGAAAATAAAGTTCACAAGTGTAATATTGCACGATAAGACGCTAAATCAGTGATTACTAGCGTAATTAACGGTCAATTTACTTTTCCTATAGTTGAGATAATTTTTAACCGGTGTGAGGTTTTCTTTAATAGATACGCTTCTGCAAAACAAAATCCACATAAATCTTAAGTGCTAAAAGATAATTTTAGCTAAAAGATAATTAGTTTTAATTAAACAAAAAGGCGTAAATAAAAAAGAACGGGGAAGAACGGGGAAGCATTCTGTGAATGAAATTTTGAAATGCTCCGAACGAGGATGATGCTTCGAGTATCCGGGGTCGGAGATCATCGACGCGGTCGACACTTATCGATTCTCAGCGAGTAATTATTGTCGCTGTGGTCAACAGTCAACTTATCGCGGTGCGTGTAAGTGTGTATACGCCACGTTTGCCAGTTCTGAAAGAGAGAGAGAGAGAGAGAGAGAGACGAGCGCAATATGCTCTTGCCGAGGCTATAGCTAATACTCGAAATGACGTACACTGCAAACTGTACATACATTATGCACACATGCTGCGGAAGGTGAGATAGCAGGGAGAGAACGGGATGTGGCGGGGAGAAAGAGAATGTGGCACAAAACGCAAAGGACATCCTGCCTGATGATTCACGCGGCACGATTCCCGTATAACATTTGATGATTTTGCCCGTCGTGAAAAATTCTCCCGCTCGCGGACAGACAACCGATTGTCGTTCGACGCGACATTCAGAAAAATAGTATCGATACGAAAAAACGCGTCTACTCCATTTATTTCTGAGTCACCCAAATTAGTTTCTTCGGCACGTGTAGCCTTGACGCTCACTCAATACGATTTATCGCTCAGCAATCATGAAAAGTGGAAAAAGAAATAGGAGATATCGTAGAAAAAAAAAATGAATGGCGCAATTGTAAAATCATGATTACTTTGTCATCAACTTACAATTAGAACGTCGTAGTCGTCGCCGATATTAATTAATTATTAGACGATATATATTTCGCGGTTGCTTGAGCTTTACGATCTTACGACGGTGGCGTTCAATGAAGCGTCCGACGCGGTGGTGGTATCCTTTCGTTTTTCGCGCGAAAAGAGGGTGAAAGTACCATAGAGCCGGCAAATAATAATCACGGAGGCGTGATCGTCTCGCGGTGGCCCACATCGTTAAATTATGCTTTTGCTTTGAAAGTGACGCGAGTGCAGTACCCGCCTTTACTTTTACATTTTCTCATCCGTGTCACGACGCTGCAGAAAATTGAATAAATCTCTCTCGGTCGAGAGAAATTATTTTCTGTAAGATTATTATCGCGAGTCCTCCGTTCTCCACGAGAAATCGTGAAAGGGGAGGGGGGTTGATTTTTTTGACAATTTTTAGCATCCTCGTATTCCTTCGTTCCTTCGCTTATTGTTAGTCTCCTCTCGTTCGCGTTACACCACTCAAGGAGGATTCATGTCTCTTGCGATCTAATTCGCGATGCGACGTTATTTATGACGCTGTGGGACGTGGAATAGTCTGCGTCTGCACGCGTGCCCCCCCGCACTTATAGCCGAGCGCCTCTCGTCGTACATCGTCAACAAACTTCTCTCATTCACGTGTGTGCACGTGTGTACACGCGCCCACGCATGGATGCGTTCGCCGCCCGCGCGAAGGAGGGAAAATCTATTATGCGTTGCTCCTCGTTGTACACAGACAGTTACAGCGATGTAACCGACATTTATCGTGCCCAATAACGCCGCGAGGACAAAATGGAAATTCAGCATCTTTTCTTCCTCTCCAATCTCCTTTTCCTTCTCTTGCTTCATTATACAATTAAATCCCCTTCAATTTCTTCCCTATTTTTTTTTCTCTTCACCTCTTATCATTTTCACCTTCTCCATGGCCTTTTTCCCCTTTTTTCGTTTCTTCCTCCTTTCCATTTTACTTCCGTTTCTGTATGCTCCCGTTCTCCTTTTTCCCTCCTTCCCCTCCCCCCCCTCTCGATCTCGCGTGCGTTCTAACGAGAAGAAAGGGAGCGACTCGCACGCGGGGCCGTCGGTCTTACGCCACTGAATGAGGGACGATCAGTCGTGGTGCAGGTGCCAGAAAGAGTATGCATGCTAGCGAGTGATCGTTGGATAAGGACGAGCGTAGCGGTCGCGGGAGTGGGCAGGAAACGGTTCGGTTCGGACTATGTAAGACGACGAGGCGGCGGCCGAGGGGTCCGATCGTGCCGAGTCCCCATCGAGACCGGAGTAGTAGTGTCCGATCGGCCGTCGCGGCGCGTGGAGCTTTCCGCCGTTTAGCGATCGTTCGCCTCGCGTGCGAACGTATCCGTGGGACAAACGTACCGTGACGATCAGCGGAGAAACTCCAGATTCAATCCGACGGTTTCGTTCCGGGCTAAGGTCACCGCGAACGTCCTCTCAATCGTCCTCGCGAGAGGGTCCTCGGCGAATTGGAGAACGGCACGATCAGGCCTCGATCGAGAAAATGCAGGATATATGAGATGAATCCGGTCACCGACAGAAACGTGCGAATGAGAGAGGTGGTGAAGTGGTGACGAAAGTATACTCTGTCGGTGTTTTTTTTTTTGCGCGCGGATCTCACTCCCGATATCTAATTGTTCGACATTTTTCACTTGCGTGTGCTCGACGTGATCTGTGCTTGCGGCCGGACCGGCGTTGTGAAATCCTCGAAAAAGAAGAGAAAAGGATAGAGATCAAAGTTTCTTTCTTCGTCACGTCACTATCAAATCTCATACGAAATGGAGGAGGCCAATCAGTTGGACACGTCGACGTCCAATATCCTTCTGATGTCAAAGATCGGCGCGATGATCGGTCTCGGCTTCGGTTCCCTCGCGCTGGGAACGCTGCCGTTGATGGTGGGACGTTGCAGGGCCAAGATGCAACTACGCCAGAAACGTCGCCGGGCGATCTCCTCCAATCATTTCAACACCTCCACGTCCACCTCGGTGTCGAACGCGTCCTCGCCGATCGTCGACTCGGCCTCCGCGGCGAACAAGCAAGTACGTCCGAGAAACGGAAACCAAAAATTCCACGATAGTCGGAAATCGGATTTCTGGTCCACTCGCAGCATCTCCGGAAGGCTCGTCTTTGTGCCGGTTATAAATCGAATCGAACTCACTGCGGGTGTCACACGAAGTCACATTCGCGGGAAAATAATAGGTATAACCAAGGATACCGAGTGGAATATCCTCGACACCGGTGGATATCCTTGAACATCTATTAAACGTATCCGCGCTGCATATAGATCGTTTTTTAATTCAGCAATTTTTAATTCCTTAATATCAGTTCAGTTCTATTTTATCTTCGCTATCTATACACTTGCTGACTTCAAGTGCTAATGTGTCAATGTACCGCGCTATCCTAAACACGTCTAAAACGGCACAAAGTCGAGACGGATAATATTTGATCACGTCAGAAATATATCGGAAAGTCGTGTTTGCAAACAATGTTTACTTCGATGTATAATTCGCTTAATGATAGTCGATCGATCATGTATTAATCGTAACGCGTCCGGAGTAGCTGCTTATTATAGGATGCTCGGTACTTTACAATCAGTATTTATAGACTCTCCGGACTATTTGAAATCAATTACATCTTGATTTTGTAGATGCAAACGTCGTGTATATGCATCTGATTTGTAGCAAAGGCAAGTAAAATTTTAAATTAACAATTGCAATTTCTTGTAAATCTATATCACGTATGAACTTACACGAAAAATCACGGTCTAAAAATCGCGATTCCAAAGCGCAGTCAAAGTCCATGCACGGAAAGAACAATTTTGTTGAAAGCTCTAAAAATTTTGCTGAATACAGATCTGAAAATAATTTTTGTTTAATAATTATCAAAATAATTTGTTGGAAAGTTAAAAATGATAGGCATTGCTATAAAACGTTTTTGATATTCTAGCAATCATTTTGATTTTCCAACAAAATTATTATTGAACAAAAAATTATTTTCTGATCTGGATCCAGCAAAATTGTTCTTTCCGCGTAGAAATTAATAACTGCAGCTATTTGCCGAGCGTCCTATTTAACAAACGCAAATTCTAAAACGGATCCCAAAGCACCGCGGCATCGTCTCTTCAGGGTCTCTTGACGTCGCTCTTGCTCTGCTTCGGCGGCGGCGTGCTCCTGTTCACGACGTTCGTACACCTGGCACCGGAAGTGCGCGCTAGCGTTGAGACTCATCAGTCGAACGGACAACTGCCCGATCTCGGTACCCTCGGTCTGGCCGAGCTGCTCTTCTGCAGCGGCTTCTTCCTCGTCTACCTGGTCGAGGAAGCCGTGCATGCCGCCCTCACCGGCAAGCCCGAATCCTCGGAAACTTTACTCTACCGTACCGTGTCGGTGCGCAGATGTAACAACAATCAGACGGGTCCGTCGGGCTCATCGGTGAACGGCTCGATCACCACCGTGTCCACGACGACAAAGTCCACCGCGTGGAAAGATGATACCGAAGACAACAAGGATCGGCCGAAACTTCAGCTCGATGATTCTCGCGATCAAGAAGGCAAGGACAATAAAGTGGTGCCGACTATATTCGTCCTGCCTGTCGCGTTGCCGAACGAAGGACATCAGGTTGTGCAAAGGCATTCCGATTTAGAACTAGCAATGCCGGAACTGAACTACTCGGTCAATCATCATTCTAACGGCCATCATCATCATCATCATCAGCACGGCGCGATGATGCAAAACACCTCAGTGCAAGGACTGTTGACCGTGCTCGCGTTGTCCTTTCACGCGATATTCGAGGGCTTGGCGGTGGGTCTGGAGCCGTCCATCAGCTCGGTCGCATATCTGGCAGCCGCTATCGCGACCCACAAACTGGTGATCTCCTTCTGCGTCGGAATGGAGCTCTATGTGGCCGGCGCGTCGACCAGGACTACCCTCGGCTACCTGACGATCTTCTCCATGGTCACGCCGATCGGGATTGCCATTGGACTCGTTCTCGACCATTTCAAGAACGACAGCGAGAATTTGGGGCCGACGCCTACTATACTTCAGGGCATGGCGGCCGGCACCCTGCTCTACGTGGTGTTCTTCGAGGTGCTGGCGCGGGAGCGGGCGAACGAGAAGAGCGGCCTGCTGCAGCTGGTCGCAATCATTATCGGCTTCACGCTGATGCTGGGCCTGCAGATCGCCAGTGAGTTCGTTTCCCGGAAGACGAGGAAATCCCCCGCGTCTGCAGCGTAGAACGCGCACCGGAGCGTATCGCGGCGCGACACACCGCCGATGCCGGATAAATGCATTATCGTCGTCGCTCGTGTATACACACGTCGTCCTTCGCGCTCACTGCGCGCTTCCGTTTCCCTCCTGCACGTCTCGCGTGACCGGTGAATTTCCGCGTGTCAAAACGGGAAATCGCACGGCGTGCGCAAATTTATTGCCGCAGGGTGAAAGTCCATCTCGACTCCATCAGGGTTCACCGGAAGCTATCTCTTCCTTGACTTCCTCGATTCGAATTTGCGTGACGTACGGGCGCATTATTATTCATAGGGGCCGGTTTTATCCTAGCTGCATAATTCAGACATTTTTTTCCCAGGCTTTTTCCTCCCTGCCTTAAACTGTACTGTATAATATTTTACATGCGAATTCAAAATGTCAATCTTCTTTAGACAAAAATGTCGATCGTGCACATCGGCCGATCGTGAATTCTTATAGTCATCGATATTTGATATCCTTACGATTAAAATTTATCGAATCGCTCGTCTCGGTGCAAGCCTAATACCGGTACGCCCTTGATACACTTCACGTGTTAGTTTCCTCGGTAATTGTCTAATCTATTGATTTACCTTAAACCGACGAGCTACGAACTGAAAAGTCAGGGTCAGGCCAAATTGGAATGGGAGAAGCGGAAGGATTCTTCGTGGCACAAATTCTCATGGCGTGCAACGCTCGTTCGTTCGGTACTTGCCGCGAAAATAGATCTTATCGAAAACGTTATTCTGTTAAAAATTGATAAACAAATCAGGCAGGCAGACATTTGTGTAGGCGACATGTGTACGAGTATACAAGTACGTAAATTCTACGTAGTGAAATTGATTTATTTGTTGATCTCAAACTGCTAGCCGATAAATTCTCGTTCACTTTTGATAGTTTATGCCTTGTTGTGATTGTTATTCCCATGCGGTTAATGACTGTGATAAAACTGACGCGAAATGATGATTCCAGCAGAAGCGAAGCAGTTACTTGTTACCAATCGTAAAATGTTTGAATCGTAAAATGTTTCTAATTCAAATTCATAGTTTAAGATTAAAATTTGTTTTTCATAGTCAACATTCGCCTTCATTTTTACGATCCAATATTTTATCTCTAGAGTGAGGAGTTTTTTCTTCTCTTTCCGTTCATTTTCTCAATAAAATAGAGACGTGTGCAACATTAAACATTACTCAATTACATAATTAATAATAAGTTAAAACGATTTCGTCTCTGACTTTTTAAGAAAAAATTGTTTTTTGACAGCTCCGTAGTTCGTTCCATTAATTCCGTTATATTGGAATATTTGTCGCTGTCCATTAATTAACATTTTCGACGAAGTCGAAATCTAATTATAAGTCGCTGACATTTGCTCGATTATTCGTGCGCGTAGAGTATATATTCTACTTATTGTTAGTATCCAATAACGCTGGACACAGATAACACGAGAGTGTCATTTCGCCGAGAAAGTAATAACAGGTGGGAGAGATGGATCGTAATAACGGTTACCTCTGCGCGGAGGTATGTCACCTGTTATGCAATCTTAATTGCATCTCGACCTTCTTGCGAGAGTGCGAAAGGTTCGCGAAATCGCGAAAGATCGTAGACGCAAATGTTCCACTTCAATTCAAAAACAATGACGCAATATGCTAGACGCGTTAACAAATCTTGTGGAACAATATCATGTAAAAGTACAAAGAATTGCCTAAGGCATGTTAATATCATAACTGTTTCTAATAGAACATAAATACGACAAAATAGCGTTACGCGTATAAAGTATTTAATCGGGCACGATAGCGTTACATACGTATATATATATATAAAGTAAAATTTTAGTACGAAGAAATTACGTGCTCGCTGCCATATCCGGTTTTAAACGGTTTATTGGAGCATTTACCCTGCATATGAAATACGAGCTCGTTACCTCCTCCTACTCGCGACTGTGCGAAACATGAACTTTTACACAACTCGCGTCGGCTGCGATATGATTGGCAAATTGCGTGCGGAAACAACCCACTTCTTCCAAGGCACACACGGGTTTCACGTGCGGTGCTAGAATGACGTGCGTGTTACGGGAGGGACACACTGTGTCATGCTGACAACAGGCAGACGAATCTCGATCTCATAAGGGATCTGGTTATAGTCCCAAGGCTTTCTCTCCACCCATGGCAATGACCCGGGACGGGTAGGTCGATGGACGATCCGACCGACTTTCGACTGGCTTTCTCAACCGTTTGACGCATTTCGTGATGACGAAATTGCCGTCGAGTGCTTGAGTGCCGTTTGGAGAATTTCATATGTATACATATATATATATGCGCGCGCGGAAATTCATTACTGGAGCTCTTGATGAGCGACAGCAGTGGAAACGGATGAGACATGATCGCGACGCGCGACACACACACCCATCAAGTTATACGACGTAACTTTATCGCGAAATATAACATTTCAAAGAGATTTTTATAATTCTTTATTGTGTTACTCTAACATTAATTATTAGCTCATTAATAATACAGTAAATGATCGTGATAAATGATCAGAAATCAATTATTATTGACAAGACAATTATGACAGATAATTATTATTTTTTGCATTCGACTCGAACAAGATAATCGCTTTATCGTCGTACGAGTCACGTACATCATTATCGTTGATTAGATACTTTCCTAGTTGAATCTAATAACGTAAACATTAATCTAAAAATCTAATAACGTTAGACATCACCGTGCTTTGTCATCACGAACTATCCTTTCTCTTTAACGATAATGACAGAAGATCTAATCTCTTACTTTTATTAAACCATCCTGTAAAAGCGCAGATTAAAATAAATTAAAATAAATTCACAAATGTGTACTTCCACAAAAAACGAAGTTTAAATAACTTGTAAGAAATCAAAGAGTGACTTTAGAATTTAAAAAATTGTTCCTTCATCTAATTTAATTAAGTAACAAACGGAACAGGCAGACAGAAGAATCTATCTTCTAATTTACGAAAATTAATATACGAAAACGCAAACAGTTGAATTATATTCTAATTTCCGTAATTGAATGAGATATAACTTCTCAAAATGAATTATCGCCAATTATTTTCGCAGACCTCGCGATTGATCTTCACCGTGCTTTAAAAATCTCATGAAATCTCAAACATCTCCGGTTTCTGTCTACAGCTGCCCATTCCCACTCGCATGGACATTCGCATGGTAACCACACGCATATGGAGGGGCACGATGACGATCACGATCACCATGACGATCACGATCATGATCACGAGCACAAGCACGGCGTCGTCACGGGGGCGATCGACAAAGTGACCGACAGCATCGCCGAGGTGCTCTCCAACGCCCTCACGTCCTCGACGACGACGGTACAGTCGAACGACGTGAGCGAGATCAGCCCGTTGCGTCCTCAGCGCAGTTAGGGGACCAACCTTTACCGGGTTCCCGCAAGTTCCAAGCTCCACGGCTGAACTCTCTTCGGCAAGAGATTCAGCGCGACCAAAATCTCTCGGGAAGCTCGACGATCTCGAGACGGCGGCAACGCCTTTCAACTCAGGGGACTCTTCTCACACGCATTTTTTTAAAAACATTTAGCGAAGTAGGAAAATGAGATGTTGAGACGAGGGGAAGAAGAACGGTGTTATAAGCTGACTCTTTAGTGCGTGGATTTTGCGCGTCGATCGGACTGACGGCCTCGTGAACGGATGTTCCTGATGGACGTGGTGCAAATAGCGGGAAACTCATGTCGCACACTACGTTCGATAAGACAGTCTTTCATCGCTGCTCCGACTGGAAAATGCGGAGAAGAAACTTCACGGATTTGCTGCACCGCTTTCGCTGACTATCGCGACAGACATCCTTGAAGAAGAATTTCTCGCTCAAAGTCGCGACCGGAGAAGAAAAAAAAGTTCACCGATATATTGTATTTGTGTCTGAGTTTATTTTTTTAGATACGTAGTAGAGAATAAGTCAATTTGTAGCTGTACGATCATTTAAGTGCCTTCGAGACCTAAATACGCCACAGTATCGAAAGTACTGACAGTAATGTACGAGGGCGTTCTCCAAAATTTAAACACATTTTTCGATAAAGCAATGCAAAAAAAAACATGGACGCTGAGCTTATCGCGAGGTCCATCAGATTCCTAATTACTCAACGAATCCAAACAGGCCATGCGCATTTATATTATAATAAGAAATTTTAATAAATTATCACAGATATTTTTTATTCTGGCCGTCACATTTTTTAATGCCTAGTACAATAGAATAGAACGAAATGGGAATCCGGCAGATTTTTCAAACCTTGCGATTTCCCAAATATTCGCCTTCCCTCATATTTTTTGCAGAAAATTAGTTAATGGAATTTGTATTCTCTTTACATCGAAAAGGGACTACCGTTTCGAGACTAGCGAGAGTTTATTTAATTCGCGAATATATCCGTAGTAAAAATAAATCTCGCTCGTTTGATAACGAGCCTCGCGGAGAGTCGTTCGAAAAGCATAAATATGTGCTTTTCAAACGCCTCTCCGCGAGGTGAAAACACTTTCGTAAACGTCATCTGGGTTTCGCGATGAGAGCGGTTATTGTTGGAATGCCGTGTCATTATTTGCAGTGCGACGAAACAATAGCGGCCGCGTCAAGAGACACGCGAAGAGGCACGCCACGGCCACGCCGTGCGGCGATCGACCAGCCTTTACGGTTACACAGGGTATTCCTGTTTTCTAAAGTCGGGGAAAAAGTAAAGTTTGGGGGAACTAGGCTCGTTTGTCGAGCCTAGCTCCCAGAAAGTTATCTATTTTTTTAACGTTACGGTAAATCGGTGTCTTTCGTGCCGCGGATAAATTTATTCTAAATCGATGAAGAGTGCAAGTAAAAGAACGAAGTCTCTTGGACACCCTGTATGTAGACCCTCCATAAAAAGCTCCCGTACGTCTGCGACTCTCGACGCGCGACGGAGCGTCATCTTAACGAGATAAATTATCGTATTTCTGCGGTTATAGGGACGTATCGGATGCGATGCTTTGCGCGGAACAAGACGTCAAGATTCGAGTCTTTGTTAATCAATCGCGTTCAATTTCATCCTTCATGATCGTAGAGCCATCCTAAGATTCGTATTACGAACTTCTCACGTAGGACACGTGATCTCGGAGGTAACGATACTTTTGCAGTTTTGTCATTTATCATTAATGAGAATAAGTTTAATTAACTAAATAAGCTTCGTTGAAGATGTTCTCGCGTTACGAGCAACGAATGTTAGTGAGATTAAACCGCGTACAAAGTTTCACGGCGAGTCGCTCCGCGTTCGTTTGTACTGCTTTGAGGCCTCCCCCCCCCCCCTTGTCCGGTTCGATGTTCGCTGTAATCGTACGAGGGTGCAATAGCACGCGTAAATAAACGATAATAGTTTTGAAGAAACAGACGCGTTTCAGCGAGACAATAAGAGGGAGATAGTAAGCTACCATTTATGCCGTTTTCTTGCGAGTTAAGTCTCGCTTCGCATTTCTTCACATTCCAGTTTTCAACTCTGTCGTATATGTCTTCGCGTTATTTCAATTGTTAAACGACCGAGTTTACCCATAAAAATCATTGCACGTCGTTCGGATATTTTCTAGGATAATTTACGTAAAGAATTAATAAATTTCAGACACTCTCAGGCTGATATAGATAGCGTTGCACAGCCTTAGATTAGTTTCTTCTGCGGAGTAGAAATTAGAAATGCAAAATAGACGTCGATGGAATTCAGGTGAGGAGATCGTTCATACGTTTCATTCCTTTTTTTTTTCTATCGTGTCACAATTCGTATATTCATACATTTATGGTGACAGTTATCTACATATGACTCTTATGCAGCTTACAAAATACGTTTGTCAATAAATGTACGACGCTCGTACTTCCCGGTTTCGCACCGGAATTACGAGGTATCGTTTAAGTTCTCATGGTGCGCGTGCATTACCGATGTATACCTTATGCAACAATTTATCAAGTGCCGTGTTTATCGTGTCAGTGATACGAGAGCGAAGAGAAAAGCGCACGATTGTTTTTTTTTATTAACACGTTCGCTACAAATCGTAAAACGATCAATCGCCGAGAATCGCCGATATCACATTTTTGTGCGACAATTCACCTTTTTCTTACTTTTCTTTTTGCTTTTGAAAAGAAACGCGCGTATATAAAAAGTCACGGTGGAAAAAATATTACATAATATTAGTTTGCACCCAAAAGATTTTAGGAATTCAATGGATCGATCAAATCGCTCCTTCGTAATCTCCCGTCGCGTGAAACGAAGATTTCACAGGACGCAAGTCGATTCGGGAGTCACGCTTAAAATGCAGCAGACAAAAGGGTGCCGTATTCCTTGCTCGACGTAGTACAATTTCATTCCGTAACAATTCGAAATACAAATCCAAAATAGGAAGGAAAAAGATAAGAAAGCAATGTAAGAACAGCCTACTTTTTCGCTATTTGCCCGTCCACGAATTCGAGGTAACTCGAGCCGACTTTCAGAAACGCCACGCCGGTGCCGATGCCAGCTATCGTGCAGCAGACCGGGCTTGGTGGTACTATGGAACGTATCACCGCCCACAGCAAGACCGATCCCAGGCTCAATAATACCGCGCCGGTAGCACTGGAAAGTAAATATATGACAAAAATGGGAGATAATTCGGTTTTATGTGAAAGGGACGTACAGTCGTGAACAAATAGGTTGTGACACTTTTTTTATAGGTTTCTTATATATACATATAATATACGAGGGATCAACCACTATAGGAATCAGTGTACATCTTTGGGAATATATTGCTAGTAGAATATATTGCGGAAATACAATACTAGCAATATGTTATCAATATGTAGCAAGACCTAGCAATATTTGGTAATATTGTGCAATAGGTGGCAGTACATGAGGTAATAGATGGCAACGTTACTGACAATACAAAAGCAATGCAATAGCGATACTAGCAATAAAGTGTATTGTATTGCCATAGTTGGCAATCACTGTACATTTTTTTAGTAGTAGTCAACCCCTCGATAATTTATAGGCAACCAATATTTTGCAAATGCAAACCACGATCCGATGTACTATTTTTAGTCTAGAGACAGTACATCAATCGTGGTTCGCATTTGCAAAAAAAAAGTGCGTTTCGAAACCTATAAAAAAAAAGTGACGCAACCTATTTGTACCACGACTGTGGTACATGCACTACACATCGCCAGCATGAAATCTCACCTGTATAGGATTCTCACAGACTGTGGTGCAGTCTTCATGTGTTCACGTGTGTAGATGTACGATCCGGTACCAACCAGAGTGCCGGCCAGTAAGAAATTCGTAATGTCCCTCTTCGGGAATACTCTGAAAAAAATAACAGCGTTGTTTACAATCTCAATCTCAATCTCTCTCTCTCACTCTCTTTCTCTCTTTCAAATCACATAATTCATATTCGCCAACTCGCGTTAGAATCAGTTAGAATCTATGATACGTTCGTCTGTCGCAGCACAAATTGGAGTTACGTAAGAAGACAGAGAAGGAAGACGAGAAAAAAAGAGAACTGCTCGTCGTCGCACTCACGGCGCCGTCGAGCCGAACGACGCAAGCCGGGAGACTTACTTGATGACGAGGCTCGGGTTCATGACGTTGACGGACATCGCGGTGTACGAGGCGGCGCCGAATGCGGGCGCGTAGAACTTGGCGAGGTTGCACCGCGTGACCGGTCGCAGGCCGAGCTTCTTGACGATCGTCGAGCAGCAGCCGCCGCCGTTGCTGCCGTCGCCGCTGCCGCCGGCGGCATCGCCGCCGCCGTTTCCCTTACCGGACATTTTCCCCTTGGTCGCCGTGTCGACGCGTCGTTCCCTCGTGCCGCGGGTCACCGGAGGATTCCCTTCCGCAATCACTGCTCCGCTCCGCTGAGTATCGTCAGACCGTCGTCTCGTCTCGGATAGTCCCCGACGGTGTCACGACGAAGAGACTTTGGTCGGTAACCTTCGCGCCCGCACTATACACCACACACGCAGCACCGCCGACGAGATTACTACTAAACAGGGAGAAACCTGACTAACCTAAGAGAGGACAGTTACCGCAAGATGCCGGCGCGCACTAACGCCATCTGGCGACACGTGGTGTAAACTACATAGCAACGTTTGCTTATCTGCATTGTCGGTACGTACAATTGTGCCCACAAACAGTATTTGTGATGCGTGTTCGTCAGCGTGCTCCGCGGTGGCGGCACTGTTTCTGTAGATCACTTTAGGCGCGTCGCCGGCGCGAGAAGGATTGATTATCTCTTTGATTGACATCCGCGGTACGGGAAGGATGTAAATAGCGATCGCGACTTGATCAAATGGTATTGAAACCTATATATATATATTAACATATGCAATATCAAATTATCGCGCGCAATGATAGATTTGATACTTTTACACCGACAAAAGTATTATTCAGATACGCGTATACACGCGATGACGCGGCGGCCGCGTCGTCGCCGCCGCCGCCGCCACCGCCGCGTCATCGCGTGTATACGCGTATCTGAATATCACTCGCGTCCTTCGTACGTGTGTTAATCTGAAAGTGAAAAGAGAATATTAACACTATTAAAATGACGATCAAGCGCGGCTTCGTCTCTCGCGCGATCAACTCTTCACGACGACGCCGCGGCCGCCGCGTCACCGCGACGCGTGAAGTTGATAATCCGATAATAGTGTGAAAGAAGGAGACCTAGGACAGACATCGAGCACCGGCGGACCAATTAATTTGTGGTAAATATTTCTTACTTGTAAGTTGTTATTAATTGTTATTAATTGTTATTAATTGTTAGTTTGATTGTATATGTATTTATTATAGATCAGAGTTTATATATGTACTACAACTTCACTGTTGGGCATCATGTTCGAGAGGAGGAGGTCTAAGAGAGGGGCGTCGGTGGAGCAACTTTGCGGTAAGCAACTTAATTTTTTCTTCACGTTTACTCGAATTGTTTGATTTTGATAATTTAAAAATAATTGAGAAGGGTAACAATTACCGTGGCAACGGCTAACCAACATTTTGAAAAAACGAAGGCATATATATATTATTTTAACTTTAGAGTTTTTTTTTTATTATTACAAAATGTGGATTAGTCCACTGCGGCAAGTCTTTCAATTAGAGAAAAGGAATTAATTTGAAATTTTATGAAAGCAGATTATCCTTGTAAAGATCTCTAATTGTGAAACACACAATTATTTTAATAGATATTTTAATTGAAAAAAAAAGCGATTCTATGCGTGTAATTATCTTTTAAATAATTAAGTATTTTGAAACTTTAATGAAAGCTTATCTTTATGAAGATCTTTTGTGAAACATATAATTATTTTAATAGATAATTAATTGAGAAGAAAAGGCGATTTTACGCATGTAAAAATTATCTTTAATTTAGATCTTATATTTATATGTTACAGAATCATCGTAGCTACATGCCTGATAACTCCACTGTTGCGCATCGGTGTCGGTGAGTGATACAAAATTTTATTTGTGAGGTAACAAATTTGTGCAAATTTAATTAGATATATACATACGTATCGATATAATTATTATATAATACTGGATTATATATTATACTAGAATACATAGATAGAATTATTCTATTTTTTTCTTATTCAACACATGAAAGATTAGAGAGGACAACGGATTTTAGGATTTATCGGATTAATTATCAATTAAGAATCGCAAAAGAATCCCCTATTTTATTTTCTGCTTACACGTTTTATTGCGATTTATTACTGTTCCGTACATTACGTATAAAAATTCAGGTCATACAATAATTGTACCTTATTCTCCGTGTCGAGTAAGTGAGGAATGTGCCGTCAGATATTGAAAAGACGTTGACGGGATATCAAAATTCGACAAGTCATGATGGCGTCAATGATAGAGCCAAAATGGTTAAAGAAAATAATCAAAAGTTACTTATTTTCAATCAGTCACGATTTAAACATCAGTCATTTTGACATTATTGTGACTTCTTGTTCTACTTGGACAGATTCTTTGTGCGTCTTCCTTTTAATGCAAATGTTTTTCCGCGTCATTAAACGGCTTATAGAAAAGTGACTGAGATCCCACGGGTCTCCGGCATTCTAAATTCAGAGCACCCAAATTTTCGAGCCTCGGTCGGATCTCGGTTCTATATCTTTTTCTGATGATTTTTGCGCGAGAAGTGCGAGTTTATTACATATGTCTCTATTCTCTTAATACGAAACAGAATCCCGATCTTTGATCGTTTCGAATTTCTCGCCGAAGAGATCTTGCGCGATCTCACAGTTTCGTATTTTGCAAGAGCTTCTTCTCGGAGGATCCGATCCGCAGACATTTGACCGTCAGGGCGACTATCGTGACAACAGCACCGATGAAAGACACAATACCGAAGACCACCAGTACCGCGAACCAGTTCCTGAACGTGCCGATTCTACTATCGCAATCGTAGTCGGCGGCAGTATCGGTGAGATTGAGCGTCGACAAGTTGACCGGTCTCACGGAGATCGATTTATATTTGCGTCTCGCGACGGTGGAGTTCCGTTCCTTCCTGATAAATCGGTAGGATATAGCATAAGTAAATCCCTGTCCATCGTGGGATCCTTTTGCGCTGTAATACTGAATCAATAATCCATTTCCGGTAGACGTCAAAGGTACTTGGATATTGTTGATATCCCAGTGAGACGCGTCACAGTAGGACCACATAAGGAGACTGTCGTTTACCTGCGAATTGTTTTTTTTTTTTTTTTTGGAGAAAAATGCTACTGTTTTGCAAGTAAAAAATAATACCGAAAAAAACGAGTGAATTAAAAAAAAAGAAAATTAAGGATTTATTTTACAAAGATGTTTGAAAGCTACTATAATCTATCTTTAGGATTTTAATTTTCGAGAATCTTTGATTGTGCAAAATTCCTGAATTTCTTTTTATCATTTCCCTCTCATTTGCTTTGATATTCTCAGTAATTAAAATTTAATTAATTCAATTATATAAAAATAAAAATGCTAATGTATACGAGCAGACACTAAATATTTATAGACGTATAAAACATGAAAATAAGTAAATTACAAGAAAATGTGAATTGAGTATAGAAACGTGTCAGATAAAACGATAGTCGAGATCGAAATACTGATCTTGTTGTTTGTCTCATTACATCTTTGATATTATCATATATAATATTTGATAACATCAAAAATTTTACAACTATAACTTTTATTCTTTGCCTATCAATCTCTTATTACTCGGACAACTTTATTTCTTTGGAAAAACAATTTATGAATGACCATGCACTGCTCCACATCACTTTGGTACTTCCCAATATTTTGAAAAATTTGTATCATTAGATATTTTCATTCAATTTTCATTGCTTGATGTATTTTATCTATATTTATTAATACGTACTGAGAAGAGGACTTAAAAAATCGGATCGAATACGTTTGTATTATGCAGCTTACACATTTTTAAGTAATGCATACATTTTCATATTAAATAATTAAAGAGTATAATGGCGCACCGTGCAAACGTATTGGAGATTTTAAAAAAAGTGACTCTAACGCCGAATATAAAAAAAAATCTCGCGCAATGAATCCCTATATCGATTCGCGTGTTCCGAGGAAGGCATTGTAAAATAAATTCAAATGCGCTTACCTGCGCTCCGTTATAAACGGTGATTTCGTTGCCCGGACAAAAATTCAGAGTGAAGTTTCTCCTTCCGGTTGTTTTCAGTTTCTCGGGCTCATTTCTGAGAATCTTTATGTAGATCGAAACCTTCTCGGTGGCTCTACCGAGAAATCTGTAAGTGCACACGGTATCGGGGGGATACCAGCTCCGCGGGGAGCTGATGCTCTCCCTGCTATTCCGCGACCGTTCGATGCTCCTGTACGCGTATTCGCATCGCGCGCGTCTCATCTCCTGCGTAACGCGTTCCTCGTGCAAGGTCACCTGGAAGCCGTCGTGGGTCACGGTGCCGTCCTCGCGCGCGACGAACTCCAGGATCACGTTCTTCCCGCGCGAGTAGATGCGCGGTACCCGGCCGCTGCCGCAGAACCTCGAGATCTCCACGATCCTGCCGTTCACGTTTTCCAGAAGCGCGAGATAGTCGCCGCCGCCGCACGTGTTTCCCGACGATCGATTCTCCCTGAGGTATTTGGGTTCCGGTGCCTTAATGAATTATACAGGACATATAGATATCGATTTAGGTGAACAAATAGACCGGCCGGTTCGTAAATATACATTCCTCGATGCGATTTAAATTTGATAAGCGGTAATTTAATTCTTGCTCTGCACTTATCTATAAATCTCGATTTTCCAACGCGACAAAGTATTTTCAATGTTACGTGGGAAGTGTATTATTTGGAAATATTAATAAAAAAGTAAAGCAATTTTAAAATTCGTTATATATATATATATAGATTGTCATCTTAAATAGCAATAATTTTGATTCGTGATTCTATATCTAATAATTGAAAAAATAACGTTTTAAAATAATAATTAAATAACTAAACAGTAAAAATAAAATATTGTGAACTGACGCATATATATTACTCTGTGCAGAGCAAATTGGCAAAAAAAAATTCATTGATCTTTCGCTAATCGCCTTCCCTCAAGCTTAAACGAGCTACATACCATTGCGCTACCGATCGTTTCGCTCGGCCTTTCAGAATCGCCATTGAAGTAATGATTCGGGACGACCCCTCGATGGTTCGTCCTCGTTATCTTGGAGCGCATTGATTTTATGCGAAGCTTCGGCTCGCTCGTGTCGGACCTAAGCGGCAGCTCTTTGTGACGATGCTGCTCCCCCCTGTACCGCAGTATCGCCTTTTTCTTGTAATGCCTGAGTCTCGTTAATTGTCCACTCGTTTCCGCAATGCGTTTCGTCGCGGGAATCCGGCTGCTGTGTGGCTCGTTCCTCGACCGTTCGTCCCCGATAATAGATTCATCCGCCTCGACACGATCCTGACCTCCCCTCGCGACCGACGATCCGCCGTCCTTTTCCCCGAAGTCGACGGAGTCCTCGCAATTCTCCGTCTGACAGTTCTCCTGATCGGTGTAGTTCATCAAGTCGAAGAGGTCCTCCGGCTGACCGCCTATCCTGAAGCGACCGGCGTTCGACTCCAGGGCTACCCTACATCTGAAAATTAATTACGAAATCGACCGAATTCGGTAGTTTAGTATTCAGCGCGATCGCGCAATTTGATTGGTAATTTAGAACTTTGAAATTGAGAGAATTTTATCTGTCTCTCGTGAAATCCGGCGAATTCCCTGTAGTTTTATTCTCAGAAAATACGAATTTCAATCCAAATTAGCTAGCTCGATAAGTTTCGTACGACTCGACCGTTCAATGTTCGACGTGTAATTATATAGTGATGAAGCGTGAAGAAAACAGAATTTAGCAGCACGAGTCTGCTGGCACGCAGGAGAGCTGGTTTGTTATCTTGGTGAACTTCGCGTTCGTTCGAAACTTTGGCGAGCTTAATGGACTCAAAGTGGTCGATCGCGCGCACCTAATCCCACGCGGATAGACGCTGGGGTAACCCGGCGAGGTCAGTCTGCAGGACCTGTGCTCATTGCGAGCGGTGCACTCCATGGGACACGTCGGCGACGTGGACGCGGAGTAGCCGCGGTGGCGCTCCACCGCGAGGCGGATCGGCAGGACGGAGAATTGAGCGGAAAAGATGACCGGATTCGCCGAGGCGAACTGCTCGTCCGACGATAGGATGATCGTCAGCTCGGGACCGCGTCGTAGAAATAGCCTGCGGGATCGCACAAATGAGAGTTTGACCTCATCCTCGGGAAATCGAGGGGACTCACGCGATCCGCGCGAGAAAGGTAGATACCTCGTAGCGTTTCCGGTCACGTGGCCGCAATATCGACCTGTTGTTTCGTCGTCGGGATCGTCGGCGCTGTCTGAGAACTGAAAATACGCCCCCTCGCAACGGGCTTCCTTCAGGAAGCCAACCTGCAGCCTCCTAACTTTCACTTCGATCACCTACAACAAGCCCACGTGTCTTGAATTTACTTGACTACTAATTAAAATGCACTATAATTATGTATTTCTCTCTTATAACTTTTAACTTTACTAATTATTTATCGCACTTGTTTTTTTTATTGTTAAATAACGGTAATTCTACTATATAATTATTGCAATAGTGTTAACCTGCGGATCCTTGAGCGGTGCTCTGATTCGCACGATGCATCGACCCATTCGTCCTGTCCAACGAATCCAGCCGACTGAATTTCTGATGGTACGATTGCATCCTATTGTAACGCAAAAAAATGTATCGTTCAAACAAAAAAAAAAGAATAACACACAGGTACGGATACCTTGTGTTTACAGCAGAACAAGCGCGAGTACGTAATGAAAAAAAAATTGTAAAAATCTCGTCTGAAAAAACATGCACATTTGAAAAAAAAAAATGCAGAATGTGCCGATTACATATTTCTCACTTCATTGTTCTATAAAAGACAAAACACGCGTTACGTGCAAATCGATAAATGGAAAATCTACGAGTAATATTCCGAACAAGATGAAATTCTCGGATATAATTGGATCGCGTGTTCGGCTATTCCAAATAATATTTCGCATATTTCTTCTTGTTTCTTCGGCTCTTCCGTAGAAGATCCTACGGAGTCGATCTCGCCAGGCAAATTATTTTGCAGACAAGCAGGACGTGAAGCGGTTATCGAAATGCCGACAGTATTCACCGATGAAAACGCGACATTATTTATTTAACGACCCTCGCCCTTCGCCGGACTAATGAAATTACTCAGAGTTTACTGGCTAATTAATTGCCATTGATGTAAGCAATCTCGCTGAACTGAGGCGCCGTTTGCCGATATCGCGTTTCGTCCCGTGTACTTCCGTGCTTCCCGACTCAGCTATATTTGTCATCTTAATTATATCATGCGTGCCTGCATGCGTGTACACGCGCGAAACACGTCTGTGTTCGTGTGCAGTGCGACTGTTAGGCAAATTAATTGATACTGTAATTAATACTTCAACACAATATTCCCGCGAACACCTTTTATAAATTATACCGAATGTTTGATTAAATTTCAGTAACGTTGCCGTAAGTTGATTTTAAATATTGCAAAAGCAAACTATTTTGCGGCAAAGAAACGTTAATGAATAAGATGAAATGGAACAGCGTATATTACATTTTATTTATATATACATCTGTAATTATTTTTATGTGTTTTACTCGTTCTTTCCCTTGTTCTCTATGTGACTCGAAAAATATGCTGCGTCCCTTTTTATTTCTTAAGAAGCATATATTTAGCACCTTCCGTTGATGTAAGTGCATGGTGTATGATCGCCGCGGGCCATCCGTATATCACAGACGCGTGACAATGCATACGATTAATTACATCAAGTATCCTCCGGGCGGTACGCTTCTCTGCGTTTTCTCGTACGTAAGAGACATGAATAGTCATCGTCTAACGACTCCTTTGACGCGCCGAACACAGGAAAAATATACCAGACGCATCTTGAGAAGTATATATCTATTTTACCATTGCCATTGCTATTATAGATATGTACGGTATGTGTCTAATTTCGCGAATTATTTCCGTGATTTTATGTATGTATATAATATATGTGTTTTTATATATGCTTCATATGACGTTAGGTCGAAACGCGTTTAACCTCCTGCTCGCACTCATCAGCAATTTTAACGGTGGCGCTAAATACGTTGTCCCTCGATCTAGGCGAATGTTATTCCATTACAAAGGCGATCAACGTTCTTTCCCGACAGAGAGTTTCGACCCTCGCACTTCATTAAGCTACGCAATTTCATTCCCGTCGAGGCTTCTGCACGAAATTGCAGTTTCTCTTCAATCGAATTATTCGCGAATCTCTCGAACAGATTCTCATAGACCCAAATAATGTATATAATTAAATTAGAAAGAAAAAAAAAGTCTGTTATTAAAAAAAAAAAAACATCAAAAATATTTCTATGTTTAAGAACTAGGCTGCAATTAACCTCATAGCTCGATAATATAACCGATAACAATGTTTCGCATGCCAGCACTAATTAGCGAACGAACTTAACGACGTCGACGAACCTCTGATTTCCGCGGAAGCCCATGAAGGATCATTGAGCGACAGGATCAGCAGCGAGAATAGGTAGAGCGCAGTTTCCGATCTCATCTTCGCCTCGGTGTATTATAGCGCGATTTCCCCTGCTTCACGTCCTCCTCGCTGCGCCTCCTCGCCTTTCGGTTTTACTCATTTTCCGCTCTTCTCATCGCGTAGGCTCACTCTTCATGAAAGCGGCGAACTCACCCGAGACTCCCGGAGAGATACGCTTATCTGCAAAATGAGAAGAACGTCGACGTCGAAAACTTATCTCACGACCATCTCGACGGTCGTTATATCCTTAGCTATCTTTAGGTATTAAATTAGACATTAGATTAGTAGCAAAATGGATATACATCTTCCCCCCCCCCGATCCCCGCTCCATATTTATAACACTCGCGTTGACATTAAAGATGTCAGCCAGTCCGAAGAGACTCGAGGGTCTCGTGGCTTTTCGCGAAAAATTGATTTGATCTTGCCCGGTTTTTTAATTCGCCCGCTCATTCGAGATTCTCTTGGCGTGTCCGCGCTCTTGCGGTTGGAGACGAATGGCGTAAAAATAAAAGACAGGCTGAAGTTGAAGGATGGTGGATAAGGAGCGGAGAGTAGCGAGGAACGAGGGATATACATGTAAGCCTTGTAACTTTGGAAGACGACGGGAGGAAAAATTTCAAAGTTGTTTGAGCCATCTCGGGAAGAAAGAAAGAGACACAGGTCACAGCCAGTGATCCCTCCTGAAGAAATAGCATCGGTCTTTAAGAACTTTCCGAGATCCTTCTCTCTCCTTTTTCCCCCGGGTAGGTAGGTAGCGGCGACGGCCGAACTCAACGTAGAAAAAGCAAAGGATAATCAGGTCTTTTTATCCCGGAGACGGAATGCCGGGAAGTTCAGAATCCTCCGACTATATCTTCTCCAAGCGGAAGAATCGCACGCGCGCCCGTAATCGCGCGGTTCTCTCGTTATACATGTAATATTTGAGTCGGAATGCAAGAATGTCGAAGAATAAGAAAGGATTGCACGACAAATGAGGACGCAACAAGTTGCTAAATTTAACTCCTTTGCAATAACAAGAAAAATAAAACAAGATTTCGGATTGGACTGTTCCTCGATCAAATAATCTTTTGAAATAATCTGAATCTTTTTAAATTAGAACTAGATACTATTTGCATTTAACATTGCGATAATTTACGGTAAAATCTGATGATATTTGGAAATATTACGATTTTCGTGATACTGAAAGCGGATGTAAGCTAATTGCGAACACAGCAAACTTTAATACATATACAAATTATTATGTTTAATATGTTTTCTTTAATAAAAATTCACAAATTGGAATTGGGTGTGAGAGAGAGAGAGAGAGAGAGAGAGAGAGAGAGAGAGAGAGAGAGAAGTCATTACCTTAGGTGATACCAACTGCAATTTCGCGAAACGGAGCACGCAAAACTCGCGATAATAATTCTTTATCAAAAAATAGTTTGAAACGAAACGAACGGAGAATATTACGTGTAATTTTCACGCGTTCAAAACGCCTTACGCGATCGGCACTTCGGCGGTTATCTACGGTGTACAGCATACACTATTGTATACGCAAGGTCGTTGTCATTTGCGTGACAATGTTTCGAGCGGGAAGGCAACGGCATGGGTCGCTCGCTTCGTGTGTGTCGTCGCAATATTATTCTTTGAGATGCAAGTAACATCGAAGAAACGCGATTAGTTCCTTCGCGAGTGTTCAGCAATTACTAATCAACTGTCGCGCGATCGACGCGTCGCGTCGGCGGTTATCTATACGGTACAACATACTACTGTGTACACAAGGTCGTTGCCATTCACGCGAAAAGTACTCGAGCAGGAATTGAAGTAAGGCACGAGTCGTGTGTGTCATTGCAGTTACTGCTCTTTGAGATGCAATAAGCACTGAAGAAACGCGAGTATTTCTATCGCAAATTTTAACTGCAATTAATTTAGCAATTATTCAGCAATTATCAAGTGTGTCGCGATCGACGATCCGCGAGCTTATCCGGGATAAACAAACCATCACGCGCGATTCGTATATTCAGAATAAGAATTGAAGCGGTATATATAGGATGTTTCTGAATTATCATCTCGTTACGATGTTTACGAGAGCCATCCTTCTAACGACGGCTGACATCGAATAGGTTTCCCGTCGCGCTTTGAATAATCCGCGTCTCATTGTAATTCGACTAGCGTCCTCGGATAGAAATCGCAGAATAAATACGCGAATCCGCGGATCGAGTAACGTCGAGTCGAGTAACGTCAACTGTTTATTAATAATACGGATACATTTTGCGGGATTTGCGAAATGCATTGTGCGCGTAATTAGCCGTATATTTTCGCGAGGGAGTATTGTGACGTGAAGAAATAACAACGGAGGAAAGAGGGATGAAAGAGGGAGAGAGGAAAAGGGATGGCATCGAACGATGCCGGAATAACCGTGTATAGTAAGTCATTCATCGCTTTATATATTCGTTATAATTATTTGTAATTATCTCCGGCGTATACAACCATTATTTTTGAAGGCAATAAACGTGTGGCGTGACATGCAATAAACATTTTATCAACGAAAACTTCTTTATGGATATAAATTATTTCAAAGAGTCGAAACTCTGGAATTTGCTTTGTTAAAATACCGTGATTGTGGGGCATCGTGTTGCGCACATACACTTGACGCGCATTAATTATCAGTTCTCTTTTTTTTCCTCGACTCGCCCATACGTCTCTCCGAATGTCTCGTAGATACATATTTCGGTCCCCGCATGCAGAGATAGTGCTGTAAGCAAATAAATGCACGCGTCGTCGACGCGCGCGCGTCGACCGGACGTTGCATCGCGTTGCATGATGCACTACACATCCTCGATTTTCGATTTGGTCCGAATTTAGCGGCACGCGCGCAAAAGCCATTTTCCACACTGTGGAGTGGCGGCATGCCGGTTCTGGTTTATTTTGGGCAATTGTTAAGTGCTGTCGCGGCTATACACCGAAAACACATTTACACGCTCGTGCAGTCTCATCAGACCCGTGATTCAGCATGCTCTTATCTCGCCGCTTTGTCCGCCCGTAATAAATGTAAGGCCGCCTGGGCTGGGCGTAATCAGTCTTACCCTCGTAATTACCTAAATCTCGGTATATTTATAACGGTGTTTCTCGGGACCCCGTTAAATTAGTGCCTATCTCGTGTATATCGTCGCTCTGCTCGCTCTCTCTTTCTCTCTCCGTCTCTCTCTTTCTCTCGTTTTTTTTTGCACACTTTGCAACGTGATCCGTCGACGCTCTTTAATTTTCTATGACGTACACGCTTTCAATAATTAAATAAGTAAGCTCTCGGTAAGCGGATCTATTTTCCAGAAAGTTTGCATTATTTGATGATGGCGCGTCGCAATTGCATCAAGTTTTAATCGCAGATGCTCCAAGGAATCTGTGGAGCCCATTTGGGCAATTTAATTCTACATCAAAAGGATTAAACTTTAATTGACGTTGAAGTTATGCTTGTGATATGTTGAATAAAATTTTACGCGCGTGTTGTTATCACAAATAGCATAAATAATAGAAATAGTAAATGTGCATTTGTACGAGAGCATAAAGAGAAAATGAGAGAGAGAGAGAGAGAGAGAGAGAGAGAGAGAGTGTGTGTGTGTGTGTGTGTGTGTGTGTAGTACAATAACTTGCGATTACCGCGAATAATTGAATCATTATATAGTATATACATTATTATATATACATATATACATACACGGAAAGAACGATTTTGTTGAAAGATCTAAAAATTTTGCTAAAAACAGATCTGAAAATAATTTTTTGTTCATTCGTCAAAATAATTTGATGGCATGTTAAAACTGATAAGCATTGCTATAAAACGTTTTGATATTCTAGCAATTATTTTGACTTTTACACAAAATTATTTTGATTGTTGAACAAAAATTATTTTCAGATCTGGATTCAGCAAAATTGTTCTTTCCGTGTAATTAAATTAATTACATACATCTAAATAAATTTACATACATCTATAGATGCATGCGCAAGTGAGTGCGACTTACCTGTTTCAAATCACGAAGTCCCTTACGATATTCTTCGCGCTTTTCTCGTCGGCGAATATCACGTGCTCCAGATCGCGGATGCCGAGCAAGAACATCTCGCGGATCGATGAAATTCAAATCCGATTACTTCGTATAAGATTTGGGAACTAAATAATAATCAGCAAGTGCGTTTTCGACAACTGAATTTAATCGATATTCGATACCTGAGACGTAGAGTAATGAATCGTCGTGGTTATTGGCTGGTGTCACGTGTATGCCCCTCCGTACCGTACCGCGCGACACCCGAATTCTCTCTGTCGCGGTGGAAAAAGCTTTTTCCACGAACGCTTCCAGCGCGACACGTAACGCTTTTTATCGGGGGCAGGCACACGTGTCACGACGAGATTATTGGCCTTTGTGAGCGGGCTGACAAATGGTCCACCGCATATGGCGCGTCGCGCACGACTGAGGCCAGATTTCGGTCCGGCAGCATCTCCCTCTCGTCCGCGCCCGTCTCCCCGCGGCCACCCCCGCCGCGCCGTGCTCACGATGCATCACGCAGAATCCACGCACATCCCTCCGATATTGTTAACGAGAACCTCTCTCGCAATGGTATATTTTATCTCCTGTAGAACACTCGTCAGCTTGGAGCTCGAAAAATGTTGTAAAGACGGAAAATTTTTACACGAGAGATGTCTAAAAATTCTTTGACACAACAATGCGCGCTTGTTTTTATTATTTTACGTTATGCGTACATTACTTTATTATTTCTAATCGACGCGCGTCGATTAACAACTTTGATTTCGAGTCATGAAATATAGCTCCGCGCGAAGTGTGTCCGATCCGCAAATTAAACGAGATGTAATTTGGTAAATCTTGCACCTGATCTCATCCCGGATTTCCCTAACGGACAGACGACAGGAAGGATATACGAATATAACCGGCAACCAAACTTGAATGAAACTTTCTAGGAGATTGCTCCCACGAGACTCGTGACGGAGTCTAATACGCTTTAAGAATATCACAAACGGAAATCGTGAAAGGGGCAATCTCGAAAGGTGCCATTTAATTCGAGGAAAATCTCTGCGCTTTCGCCAAGTAGCGTATAGAAAAAAAAATTCATGTCATGGCAATTTAAAAGAATTTGCTTTAATTTGATCTCAAATACGCGTTTTTATTTCTTAATCTCCAAATAACCTTTTTTTCGACAATGGAAATGACTGTGTAAGTAGAAGTTAATATAGCAAAAGAAATTCGAGGATCAGAAAGATCGGGAAAAATGTGAAAAGATCGAAAGATCAGAAAATCTCATTTAAATTTGCCGAAAATAATTTCGCGAAATGCGCGCGTTGCTAGAAGATGATTTTTAAATCGATTGCTTTAATTCGGATAGTCTTGTTATTTATATTTCTCGGATATGATTACTATCGGTTCGTTCTAGTTCGGTTGATACTATTCGAGTTGGATAATGAATGGTCCAAAATAAACTCGAATCAAACGAAGTCGGCGGCGATTCGATCGCGGCTGCTCGGGAGAAGGCATTCTGCTGGAAAAAGAACTTAAGACGTGTGAAGGGGGACCGTCGAACTTTTCGACGAACTCAAAACTTCGGGATCTTCTCGCCCGTCGAGCCGCCCCCTCTCTCACTCTCTCTCTCTCCGTCTCTCTCGCGCCCGCCTGATCCCGCTTGCTCATCCCGCTCACGTACGCCAGGGTGGTTGTTTTGGCGATGAGGGTAGCCGGGATTCGCTCGGGCGGCGCTCTCGGCAAAATACGAGAGCCGAATTACTGGGACGATCCACCGAAACCATCGCGATTTCCAAGTGCGACACGTATGATGTCGATATATCGTCGCGAGCGATATATGCCACGAGCGTCCTTCCTTTCAAACGAGTTGTCACGAGGGGAGGGACAAAAAAAAACCCAGGTTCGTTAGGAAGACGCGAGAAAGCGTGGTATTGAGTGGATGGAAAGAGCACCTTTATTTTGTAACGAATGCCCTGTGCAATGATTATAGAACAGAAATTATTGATTAATTATTGAGAGTTATTAAAAAGTGTCATTATCGTCGATAGACTTCTAATCAACTCTAATTTACATTAATTCCATTTTCTATTGTTTCCGATTTCGCACTTTGAAGAAAAGAACAGGTTTAAACATTCAATAGCTCTCTCGTAGTGCGTTTCCTCTTTCCTATGAAAAGAGCTTGGTTTTTCCGAACACTCGGCGTCGAGTGATCGTCATTATTGGGGATCTCGTGTATCGAGCGGACAACAGAAGTGGCTTGTACCCGTCGCTATAGGTACAAAGAGCGCGCGGGGGATTCGCGAGAGACACCCCACAAAATTCCAACTGCAATAAATTATATTCGAGGCACGTGCCAGTCGTAGGGGTGAGCGTCGTGTGTGCTGTACCAAATGGCACTTTCATTGCACTTGCCCCACGGTCTTTGCATCTTGCCGAGTTTCGTCACCCCCTCCCGAATTTATAGCTCCTCTTCGTCTTTCTTACATTTTTCGGGGGAGGGGAGGAGGGTAGCGAGAGAGCCACTCGAGCGGAGACACGTATCGCACATTTATTACGCGTTACGTTTATTTATAGAATTTTTTCAACACGAAGATTGTGGGCGATTCGATTGTTCGAGGGGGTGTCATAAAGAAGGGGAGATTTTCTCTCGAGGCTTTTTTGTTTTATTTTCGGCACTTAGCTTTTTTTCTTTCGTCAACTCGTCTGTGACTCTCTCCGCCGCATCAAGATATATTTTATCTTCAGACTATCTTCACCGTATATTCACCGATAACATCATTATTTTCCAAAACGATTCGCCGTAGCGCGCGAACAACGCGCGTGGGAACAAGGGGGATGGGACCATTAAGCCCGCGCAAGAGATACATCATTTTTCATACTTTAACGTAGCGTATACATATATACGGGTGCGTGAATAAACCAACTGCGAGGATTCGCTCGAGCGCGAGCGAGCAGCGATAAATGACACAGCCGGTGAACAAATGATAATTACAACGGAACCGTGTTTTTGAAATGTTAGTTGTAATTTTCGTGCGCCCTAGCAGAGAAACTAGAAACAAGCCGCGTAACGTGACTATTTTTATCTTTATTAGAGAAAGATATTTAATAATCTTGAATTTTTCATCCGACGCGATCTTCTCGATAATTTCAATTTAAAGCATATATTTCGCTTCGCAATATTTGAAATAAAATTTATTGTCTTTTTTTCCTAGATTTTCATATCTTGCACTGTTTGATTCTTATATAGATTTTCGAATGCTTGTATTCGCAACCCTCTCGTTTAAATTTCTCAAATTTCTGCACTCTGCAGAATTTCTCTTTACTTTATTTTTTAGCTACTCCGTATCTTTATTCCCTCGTGGCTCCTAGATTTACTACATTTCCGAATCTGCTAACCCATAAATCGTCAATTGTGACGGATTTATGGATCTAGAGTTATACCGAATATATGGATCTCGTCTATAACCGACTGACTTGTCGTTCAAGATCGCGAAACATTCGTCGTTAACTTATTACCGGGTGGAAATAATGCGCGAAGTTGCGCGGAAGCGTCGTTATTGCCAGGCATCGCGGCGAGACGTTAGTTTCGTGTCTCATCGTGCGGTTGACGTTTAATTCAAAATCTTGTGTTACCCTTCCCTGGCCATGACTCGAGCTTATTCACGCCTTTAGCCGCAACGCCCGCGCACTCATAAATCTCGGAAAACTTGCCGGTGGCTAACGGGCTAACCACCCGCCAATTAGCATCGTGAATTCGAGGGTGCGAGCGAAAGTTTCCGATTTCCCTATTGTCGCAACGGCGATACCAGGGTGTCCCTCAGACTCTAATCTTAATAACAGATTCTTCGACGGGATCGAAGTAGATTTTCCTTAAAGAAAATTGCTTTGAGAAGAAAATGGAATTATTTGTTTTGTAATATTCAATGTAAATTCTCCGAATTTTAATTTATTTTATTTTATTAATTTATTTTTAATTTATTTGCGGCACAAAAACGCCGGCAGGACGAATAACAATTTTTAATCGCTTACATGCATATATGCACTGCTCCTTTCGACTGAACGGAGCACTTCCGCATCTGGAATCAGAGCAAACTTATCTTTTTTTTTACTGTTAGTGGTCTTAGAAATTGTTCCCGTTTTGGTACTTTTTGGCACAAAAGACGGGAAGAGCTAATAACAATTTTTATTCACTTACATTAGCGTAAACAGAAATATGCTACTCTTATACATTTAACAGTGGGAAAGAAAAAAATCGGAAAGAGTCTTGAAATGCAAATATCGAGAAATTTCTCTCTCTCTTAATTCTTCAATATTGAGTATCTCGATTATTAAACTTTAATTGTTTAAATTAGATCTTGAAAAGAGATTTTTAACTTTTAAAATTTTATATGACTTATTGCGACTATTTATATTTTAATAATTTCAATCAAAAATCGAAGAATTTAAAAACGAAAATTCTCTGATCTGAAATTTCGACAAATTTTGCATTAAATGAGAAGCGCTTCAAATCGTTCAAAGATGCTAGCAATCGAAGCGCCCAACAACTCGTAACGAATGTCCAGAGAGGGTGAGGGGCGAATGGTTGGCTGCAAAACAGTGAGAGCTCCCTACGGGCTCGTCCTCGACAACGGCCGTCTGCAAAAACATTAATCACAAGTCGGTCGGTGTTTGCACTGTCTATTTCAAAGCTTGTCCTACGCACTTTGTCATCGATAGATCGACAAACATTTTCGAGCTTATAGCAGTACAGATTTTAATCGGCAGTAGATAGAATGGGAAGAGAACGTGGGAGCAGCGAGATATTGATTATTCTCTTTTTTTTTGTTGTTTTCAAAAAAATCATAAATCTTAACGATATAGTTATTGTTATTTTCTTCTAGATGGCTTGTTAGATGTTTCGATTCCTTATATATAGGGACACACAAATCAAGAAGCACTCACAAAAAAGTGTTTATTATTTTACAAATATACGATAATGTTAATTAATATAAAATTGATTTTTTTAAATGAAAGTGGGAAATGCATGCTTTATTTTCCTTAAAATTTAAAATTATCACATTTTTGTTATGTGCACAATAAATATATGTTATAATATATAACATTAAAAAAATATATTTTATACATACAGAGAGAGTATCAAAAATCTCCGACCCCTTAAATATTTTGAAAACTAAGCATTCTGAAAAAAAATGTTTTAGACAAAAATTGGAATTGCGGGATTAAAAATAATTTATTAACAGAGTATAGTACTGTATATTTTATAATAAATATTATACATAAGCAACAATATATAACGTTTATATATAAATATACGTATTTATTTAAAATATAATATAAAATTAAATTAAATTAATTTAAAATATAATATAAAATATTTTATATGTAACGTTTTATATGTACATATATTATAATATATATATAGTGTACATATTGCAAAAATATTGTAATTTTTAATTTTAAGTAAAATGACGCATACATTTCTTTTTTTCATTTCCGAAAAGATCAATTTTATACACTTGTTTAGCATTCTCATACGTTTGTAAAATAATAAACACTTTCTCGCGAGTGCTTCTTGGTTCGTATGTCACTATATAAGAAGAATCGAGATGAAACATCTAGGAAATAATTTAGGAGATGACGATAACTAATATCAAGATTTATAATGATTGTATCCATGTTTATCATGGGGACGTAATTCTGATCCTATTTTTGCTACAATAAATGAATATAATTAAGTAAACAAATATAATTACGCATTTAACAAATATATTACATAAAATACTTCTGTAACTAGAAATTTAGTGGATTTTAGAATCTAGCGTTTGGCAGCACTTAACAGAATGGTCTACATTTTTCAACGAGACTTGAAATACATTAACTCAGTTTATTAAAACGTAACATATGTAAAGTCAAACAAAGTTCAATTCGATCAAACGTTATCATGCAATAATAATTTAATCACTCGTACAACTATTCACAGTTTATAGCACCTGTAATATTAACTATCTGTAATCGCTTCGTTTTTTACCAAAGTCTGTAAGTCTAATATCTGCCCCTGTAATCGTCTAATTTTCTGCCGCAAAGTTTTCAAAATCATCTTTTGCCGAGTGATTCTTTTGATTGCCACTTCCCAGTAAATTTTAGCTTGCACCGACGATGTAGAGATTTCCTCCCACTGGACGTCATACAGATGCTTCTTACGTTTCGTTTCTGGCTCATCCGAGTCCGTTGGAGCGAGCAATATTCTGCAAAAATTAATTACTTTACCACAATAAAATTGAGAGAAGGCCAATGAAATTACTTTATATTTAGTACAAGGAGTAATAGGATCAGAATTACGTCCCCATGATCAACATGGATACAATCATTATGAGTCTTGATATCCAGTTATCGTCATCTATTTAACTACTTTATATTTAGTATTCTTGTTTTTCATATTGAAACATTATTACATATTACTGGCTGAGTTCGGCTGAAAAAGCGACTTTGCAACTGTCGTAAAATTCTTTAATGTGATTGGTTTATATATTTAAATCCATGAAGAACTAAAAGCAGCAATCATGTTGAAGAATCTCACAACAGTTGCGAAACTGCTTTCTCTGCTAAACACAGCCATTGTATATCAATTATTTCTTACCTTTCGGATAGTTGGTCCTCCTCTTTAACTTCTACATGTGATTCTGTAATATCTAAATCTTCATTCTTAGGTTCTTTTACAGTATACTCTATCACAGTATTTGTTGGCTGGTTTTCCTTAACGATTGCATCTTGATCATCCGAGACGACCTCATCCTTAATCTCTCCGTGCAGATATAGAGACGGTATCGCCTGTGGCTTCAAATAGCGCTTGCCTCCGACTAAACTGTATCTGAAGTCGTCTTCCTTGAAATGACGCGAACATATTCGCGACGATCCGGTGATTTTCCTCTCTGTGCCGAGGACGTGCAACCATCTCTCCAGCAATTCGTCCGCTCTCGGAAACCTTGAATGAATCGGGACGTTATGTTTTTGAGTAACAATAATTTTGAATAACGTGATAACCACAGAGGATTTCTACATAATATTTCTGGTATATAGAAATCTGTGCGTGATACTCGTTTTGAAGTAATACTGTGCAGCACTTACCCGAAGAGCGAGACGTCCTTGCTCATATGGTGCTTGCAGGAGACGCATACACGTGTCATTGTGAGCAAAAATATATTATCTAGCGATAAAGATTACTTGAAAAAAAAAAAGAGTTCCAAGTACCTCAAATGAAAATTCTCATGTTCAACTCCAAGTAAACATAACCTAAACGTAGAGCAATGTAAACAACGCATCATCGTACTCGCCAGTACTGGCGACGTAACTGAGACAAGAGTGGTCTTCTATATATGTCTCCCCTTAATAACATCTCTCATCCGAATTCGTCAAAGTCACCGGCTCGTGTCAAGGCATGTCAAAGTTAAAGTTTACATATCGGCCGTTTTTGTTTGTAAATTAGTGAAGTGACAGGTCAGCAAGGCGTACCAATTCCACAAAATCGGGCACAGTTCCTCGTGTTCGTCCCCACCACGTTGTTGCTGGAAATTCGTCCAAGATTTGGACCAATCCGAGCACGTGGCTTTTGGTTGCTCTCTAGTTCCTTTCAGAAGTGACGCGCTTCGATTGACCGAGTTATTCCCTAGCGTTCCGCTCTTCGCGCGTGCTCCGAATCGCGGTGGTGGGGGTGGCGGTGGGCAAACGACCCCGGGGCGGGGGCGCTCGTTCACGGTGCAGACGGTGCAGTATGAATGGAAACGAGTGTCGCCGCTCGCACACGTTCGCCAATGTTTTAAGATGGCGGACGCGAACGAGAAGTTGCTGGCGGAACTCCTGAAAAAGCCTGGGAACAATTTGTGCGCGGATTGCGGGGCCAAAAGTGAGTAGGTTTTAGTCAAAAGGGGCCTGTTATTCGCCTGAATCGCCGCCGGTGGACGGCGATCCGTCTGGCCGCGACGCGTGTCTTAACCTCTCTCGACGCTCGTCCCGTCGACGTCTAGATGTTTGTTTTTATCGCGATATTAAATATTACGATTATATAATATTAGACTCGCTCGTGAGCTTGATCGCGGCTCGGACGACGCCTGACATTCGACGTTGCGTTCGGTGTCCGCGCGCTTCAACGACAGGCGGATTCTGCAGTATTGGTTGATAATGGTGGTGAAATACAAAACGTTGGAAGTTGTCTCGATTGGATTATCTGGTTTTTTTTTGTTCTTCTTGTTATAGCACATAGCACGCGCTACCGTGATTCATCGCAGTTGCCGTTACATTTCAGATCCAGAATGGGCATCTTACAATATAGGTATATTCGTTTGCACAAGGTGCGCCGGAGTGCACAGATCTATGGGAGCGCACATCTCGAAGGTGAAGCACCTGAAGTTAGATAGATGGGAGGACTCTCAAGTGAGTAGGGTACGCGAGGTGGGCAATGCCGCGGCGAGGTTGCACTACGAGGAACGTGTACCCTCGTGCTATCGCAGGCCAAGCCCGGATGACCCACAGTAAGTTTATCAAATGTCTGTGGTTTTCCTGTTTGTGGCTTTCCTGTCTGTGGCTTTAGTCATGCTCTTGTTGACGCATTTATTCGTGATATAGTAGATCGGCTAGCATTGTAATCTAGTTATATAGATTGTATTTCAAATAGTATTTATTATACAAATGTGCTTGAATTATCAGAAATTAATCTACAAAGTTGCATCGGTTCGTTTCTGCTTACTATTGTCTAATTTACAAAAGCTATTAGAGTTTTAGTCGAACAGTGAATAAGAGCGAAATATGACAGGGAGGAATTTTATTATACAAAGTGCTTGAATTATCAGAGACTAATTTACAAAGTTGCATCGGTCCGTTTCTGCTTACTATTGTCTAATTTACAAAATTTATTAGAGTTTTAGTCGAACAGTGGATAAGAGCGAAATACGAAAGGGAGGAATTTTGTCATCCCGAAAGACAGAATCACTACGTGTCAGGTTTCATGGAAGGGTTTTTAATGAAACGTGGGAAGGAAGATTCACGTTACCATCCTCGTAAGTTCGTACTTTGCGAGGCGGAGGACACCCTCAAGTATCACGTTAAAGAAAACAAGGTGATTTGAATGAGATAGTTGCAGCTCGCGAATGTCCGAGAGAAAGAGCGAAAATATTTAATCTCCCGTTTACTTCAAGGAACCCAAAGCTATTCTAAGGATATCAGAATTAAATGTGGCATTCGCGCCATCCAAAACTGGTAATCAGAATAGTCTTCAGCTGTCCTTCATGAAGGACGGCACGACGAGACATATCTACGTGTATCACGAGGATCCGGAGGTAATTACGAATTGGTACCTCGCCATTAGGTGCGCGAAACTGCACCGCCTGCAAGTGGCGTACCCGGGTGCGAATGAGAACGAGTTACTGTCACAACTCACGAAGGATTTCTCGCGCGAGGGCTTCCTGTGGAAAACTGGCCCGAGGCATACAGACGCTTATAAAAAGAGGTGGTTCACGCTGGACGGCAGAAAACTCATGTACCATGACGATCCCATGGTACGTCATAGACGATTCTAACGTTCACTTAACGCTTTCGTGTTACTTGCGACATCCCTACATCGCCCTGTCTTCCTCTTGTCTTTTAAAGGACGCTCATCCGAAGGGCGAAATTTTTTTGGGGCACAGTTCCGAGGGTTTCGCAGTAAAGACGGGCGTACCGCCGGGTGCCAGAGATCAAGGGTTCTCGTTCACTCTCGAAACGCCCGACCGAACCTACCTGCTCTCAGCGCAAGGCGACGACGACAGATCGCAATGGATTAGCGTGATTCAGAAAGTTTTAGATAAACCGCTAACACCGCAGGACGCGACCGGTAAGCCGGTAATCGGAAACGTATGCAATTCTTAACCCGTGGAAGTATGTATTGTATGCTGGTTTTCATTTTCAGTAGCGGCGAGACTCGTAAGAAAGCGCACAACAAGCGGAACAATGAATATATTTTCGTCCACGAGATAGGGCTGGATTCCTCTTAGACGTCTTTCTTAATTATACACCGGTAAATCGTACGTTCGAATCGTTTTGTCGAATTAAATATATGACTCAGCACACATACACACACAGACACACAAGCGCGCGCGTGCGAAATGGCACATGTAGCTTCGGCTTATTTACTCATACTTGTTGCTGTTGAGTCATGTATTTATCATGCGCACGGTTAATGTAGTTTGCATAGAAACATACGCATAAGACTGCTCGCGAAGATGTTGATCAACGTGGATAAAGCTGCAAGCGCCAACCGCCTCCTCCGGTAACATTCTTACATTGAACGTAAAGCTTGTGTCGCTTACCATCGAAAAAAACGAGTGTAGGCAGGCAGTATCGTAACAATATTACAAGGAATTTTTACTTAGCAATAATATTGTGTGTGATACTTGTCTCTGATAGTGTAACGTTCGGAGCACCGAAAGAAATTCTCTCTTCCAGAAAGTTTGGTCTAATCTGTTACAGAACAATTTATTGAACAGCAAATCCAACTCTTAGGATAGGCATTATTTTAAAGATCACTGATGATTTCGCAGTATTTTCTTTTTCCTCCCTTTTTTTTATTTACTTAGTATCAGCTGATTTCTTTAGACCATTTCATTATAAGGCCACAAGTGACGACGATACACAATCTCTGTACATAGAAAATAAATTCTGAGGGCCTATAACTCTTCATTGTTATTTCTATTTTTATTTACTATTTCTTCAAAAATGAAGAATTACTCGGTCCCGTGCTAATCCCATGAATAAATCTACATTCTAAAGCGAATGCTAAACAATCAATTGTCTACACGCGTGCTAATTATGCATTAAATATTCTGGTCGTCTCTTGGAATGTTTCACTGACA